CCTCGAAGACTTTATCTTGTCTGTGTTTCAAATGCCGCACATAATGGTTCCAATAAAAATGAAGTATTCGTATTTAATCATTATGATATATCGTTTGCTGCTTGTTACTTGGACGGTATACAATATCCATCAAATGCTTATCAACCTGACTTTTCAAATGGATGTTATGTTAGAGAGTATAATGGGCTTTTTCAATCGATGAATATGAATAACACAGAAACAACCATCAATATAACTCGGGATAATTTTATTGAAGGTAAAACAGTATTTGGTTTTAACTTTGCGCCAGATCTTTCACATGGATGTGGTATGGCTGGTCATCTAAATCCAATTAAGCGAGGAACATTGAGACTTTATTTAAGATTCAAAGAAGCCCTAAAAGAGGTTGTTGATGTCATATTGTATTGTGAATATGATAATTTGATTGAGATTGATTCTGAAAGAAATGTCACAACTGATTATAATTAAGAATAAATAAAATGTATGACTTTGAAATTGATAGATGTTTAAAACAGGTTTCTGACTTTATTGGTGTTTTTCCTCGGGATAAAATCCCTGATCTAAAAAGATCATCTTTTTGCTTAGTCGTTAACAACGATAAAGCCTCTGAGCCAGGTAGCCATTGGGTAGCTTTCAAATGTAATAAAAAATTCTGCGAATACTTTGATTCATTCGGTATACCACCCCTTTACAAAGAGTTTAGACCTTTATTCAAAACAGGAAACTCATTTGGAATGGAAGATGTACAACATTTTTTCAAAAACTTGTGGTGAATTTTGTGTTTCCTTTTTGAAATCACGAAATAGAAAGGAAAATTTCATCAGATTTATTAACCAGTTTAACAAGAATTTGAAAGTTAATGATAAGAAAGTAATCCGTATGTGCTATGACCCCTAGTTAAGTTTTCAAAACAACTCATTCATCTCAAAACCATGGACGCGAGTACATCTCCAGTTGTTTCTAACATTGTGATAAGTTATACTCTAAATTTTTCTATTGTTTTAGAGTTTCTAGAGTTTGTACTTGATAATGTTAAATACAACAAGAAAAAGTTCAATGGAGCTATCTGTAAGGATTTTGGATGCTGTCTCTTGATATTTCGAAATGGTAAAATAAACGTTGTAGGCGCTAAAACAGAAAAAATAGCTGATGATGCGATAAAACTATTCTGTGAAAAGACATACAATCCACTGGAGATCAAGGAAAAAAGAATTGTGAATATGGTGGCAAGTTCATTCATTGGTACTGGTATAAACTTATTGAAGCTCATGGAAAGGTCTTCAGGTGAATTTGATTATCATCCAGAGCTATTTCCATCTGCTTATTATTCTGTGAGTGGTACAAGGGAAAAGGTAGCGATACATCACACTGGTAAACTTGTTTTCACTGGCTTCAAGACTGCTCAAAACATTCAAAATGTACACCATTCACTTCTAAATATTCTTAAAAAATACGATCTATTAAAGAAAGATTAAAAAAATCGATTATGTTTCAAATTTATTTATTATTAACAAATGTTTCTAAATTATATTTTACAATGTGTTTTGTTATTAGCAAGTAAATGATTTTGATTGGCTTGCGACAAAATCTTGTCCCTTAGTTTTCAATATGAAACCGCAGCTAGGGAAACACTTTGCATGGAGTGTAAAAGGGTCATCACCAATACGCCAGTTATGTATAGCGCCATCACAGTGAAAACAATGAACAATATCATAGATTCCACGATAGTAAAATCCTGCTTTAGCGAGTTGATCAGAAGAAACTACTTTATCAAAATCCCAGTTGAGAAAAGATTTGATTCTTTCAAAATATTCTGATTTTTCAGGTTTGAAAGGTCCCGATGAAAGTAATTTGTCTATTGGAAAGTAACCGTAACAAAACAATCTCGGTAAACAGGCCACTCGTTGATCTATCACTCTCACCGTAGAAATGCTCTTTCTATAATGGTTTCTGGATCTTATCTGTATGTTTCCAGAAGGAAGTCGTATTAATGATTTTTCCAAGACATTCATTCTTCTGAACAACTGCGACCTCCGTAGAGTTTCTTGTGCACGGTAATGACCCTCGAGAGAAACAGTCTTTTCATTATCGTCTACAGATATCATTCCTCTGGAGGTACTTTGGCATGGACTTGAAAGATAACAGGGGAGTCCAGTAGGAGTTTCAGTTATCGGAGGTGATGGTGTATCTTTTGGTGGAGGTGTCTCGGGAAGTTGTCCAAACTTGGGGCGAGAATTGTAGGAAAATCCAGAAGAAGATTCAGATGGTGTTGGCGATAGTGTATCTTTAGGAGAAGGTGTCTCGGAAAGTCTACCAAACTGTTGGTATGGGTAGTCAACAGCATCATTACTATCATCCATATCTTCTTCAGAATCACTTTCAGAATCAGAATCTAATGTCAAAGTTAAAACAACATCTTCGAATGCCTTAGAAAGTAGTTTTAAACGCATATCATCTTCACAAGATGAAAGTGATTCTGGTTTGTGAGTTACATTACCAACACTTTTTCCACAAACGAAAGGACAGTCTGGCTTCTCAAGTCGGTGATCGACCCAGTGTAGATCAGGAAGTAATGGTAAGTTGTAGACAAAATCACAGAAAACACATTTAACAATTCGATCCATACCCGTGTAGAAGAATCCATCAGATGCAACTTCAGCGAAAGAATCCCCACTGATAGTCCAACAAGGTTGTGAATGAAAAAAAGAGGCCAATCGTACAGATTCTTTCTTGAATTGGTCTAGATAAGCTCCCCAAACAGCCAATCCTTCGCCAATTTCAGAAGAACACTTAGAAAATTTACTCAATACGTTCATTGTTGATGTTAGCTGAACTAATGAAATATAATGATGTTTACTAGACGGTAGAAGAGAGAAGAATGAAGTCAAATCGTATCCATTTCTGGTTTTATACGATAGTTTTGCTGTGGGCGTAACTTGTTTGAAAAGAAAAGAAACGCTTTTTTGTATCTCTTGAGTAGATTATGATAATCTTTTTTATTTTTAATCTTAATAGCTCCTAGGCTAGTTTAAGAGGTTTACAATTACAGATGCCTTGGCACTTATGCTTAAGGTTATAAAGAGATGGTTTATGCTTTCCTTCTTCTATATTGTGTTTCTTTTTCATGCTATTCTGACACAGAATTGATCTTGGTTTGTATCCTTCAGTGAAAAGGCGTGGAAGTTTAACATAGCTTATTTCATCATCTAGAAAATTTGGAACCTCCAGACATTCCTCCTTGCTTACATATTTTCCCACTTTAAGCATTTTTGAATAGTCTTCGTGGTCTTGACACATATCCACGAAAGCTTCCAATTTTATTCATCTTCTGAACGGACGTGAAATATTCTTATCCACACTTGGCATTTTCTTAAGATAAGGAAAAGGACGATCTTCACACATTTCTTCAAAAGATAAATCTAAAAATAATGGAGATGTATAATTAGAACTCATGATCAATTAAATATTGAAGTATAATCACAAAATGTAAGTTTAACTAATTTTTAAAACGTTATAGATGAAACTTATCACGATGACTGGTCAAAACTGAATGACTTTTCTTTGTGTCTGTGTCTGTATTTATATGTTAAACTCTCGATGCTCCCTCTGTGGGTTCAACTTGAGTATTAATAAGTAAGTATAGAAAATATTGGTTTTTATCATTTTTATTTATTCATTAATTATTTCATTGATTTATCATATCAATCGGATACAGTTTTGTATAACTAGATGTTATATCTAAACCTCCGAATAGAGTGTATCCTATCAATTTATATGATAGATAGGTGGGAAGGTTGCTGGTTCAGTAGGCTCAATTGGTGTAGAACATCTCGGAGCTTCGATTGGTCTTCGGAATTCAATCAATTCCGCTGGCCAACCTACCCTTTCAAAATATTCAGCTGGTACCTCATCACCGAATGAGTCGTACTCATAAAGGCAATTGTAAGGTGGCTGAGTATATTCTATCGGAATAGAACTGGTTGAGACCTCATTCGAAGCTTCAGATGGAACCTCTTCATTTGGTCTTCGGAACCTAATCAATTCCTCTGGCCAACCTACCCTCTCAAAATATTCAGCTGGTATCTCATCACCGAATGAGTCGTACTCATAAAGCCAGTCATGTGGTGTTGGACCTCCTTCTATCGGTGTGGGTTCACTTGGAACTTCGCCAGGCCACCGTGAAGCTAACCAACTAGCAGGCCAACCTTCCCTTTCAAATATTTCGGCCGGAATACCACGGAATTCTGAAGCATACTCATAGGCGACACTATAAGAGGGGTTGTAAGGTGGTTGAGTCAAATCGACTTCACCTAGACTCACAACATAGTCCACTAGAGCATCACTTTCCTCTTGACCTCCCATCATTGGTCCGTAGGTTTGCAGAAGAACACGAATATTGGCGGTAACAGTTCTAAAAGACATGTTGACTTGTTGACTTGTTGAAGTTGAAGTAGTTCACTTTGAGAATAAAGGAGATGTTAACTTGAAGACTGACTGAGGATGAATGACTTTAACATTGACAATCGCTCTTTATTTATACTGATTCAATTGTATGAGGTGGAGCCTCATAAACCTTCTCTACTGTCCTTAAGGTTATTACTGGAGGGAATATCATCACCCCGAAGCTACGTTAGAGGTTTAAACTTATCTGGTTCATTAACCATCATTTGGCGTATCCCCAAGTCATTTCAGAAGTAAACGACTTAAGAGGATTAAAGAATAAGAGACTTATCTGAGTGCGACCTTTGGTACTTCATTCTATAGGTAGTCCTTAAAATCATTATGATGAAATCTTCATTTATTGTAATATTCATTAGGTTCAAACATTTCATCATGTATTGTTAGCCATCTTTAAGTTAATACACTTTTCGCGCCAATTTTTGTTTTAAAATATTTGAATTTTCTCACTTAATCTTCCCCACCCCTTTTTATTCCATTCTGAGAAAAAAATATTAGGCCCCGCCCTAATGTGCCTTTAGTTTACCTTTACTACTGTCGTCAATTGTTGAACTGTTGCCAGTGTCTTCAAGTCCACTTATCCATTGAGAATTACAGTTAACCCATCAGCCCATTTTTTTTTGCCTTCTCTCTGTAATTCACTTCTTAGTCTTCTTCCGATGTCAACAGGTTTTAATTTGCAAATTAATTGTGACATGAACACACATCACAATTTACAAGGTTTCCACAGTCTTTTTGAGTGTTGCCAGAAACAAATATCATCTATTAAGTAGCAAGCTTGTGCTGTTGGTTAAACACATTTTCAATTCAATTGGACCAATTAACTTTCTGCAATTATACCAATAGTATTAGAATCATTTAAATTTGCATCATTTCAATTACTTAATTGTTGCTCATCTTTGTAAATCAAATGATAACTGTAAATCGGAAAAGGAAAAGAGAAAGAGAAAACGATCATTAATATGAAATCATAATGTAAAATTCATAAATTACAAAATTGAGAAATAAATATTTACCTTGATAATGGAAACTTTTAAATAGATTGATTAGTATTAATGTGAAAAGATCATTAAATTGTTTCCTTTTTTTTAGTATCGTTAATGTTAAGATAATGTTTCCAAAGCTTTGGTTGTTTGCTTAAACCTACAGAGAGAGAGAGAGAGAAAAAATTAATGTTTACATAAAGATGAACAATTAAAAAACCATTAATATGATTGAACAATTGTTTCCAATTGTTGGAAATTAAGGTAACAAATGAACCTTGTAAATGGTGAAAAAATGATTAGTTCCCATAATAATAAAAAGCAATAACGAACAGGGAAAATTATCTTTGAGAAAAAGTTTTTCTCAGTGAAATTCAATCTAATGATGATGACTAAAGATAACAGCAATTAAGATGATCATCTTATATTATAAGATGGACAGATTTTGATAATATCTATTAGTTGAATTGATACTCTTCCGTGTTACTCATCTTAATGAGAAGCGATAACTTGTTAGTCCATCAATGAATTGAGATCTAAAAGAATAGAAGGAAAAAAAAAGAACAAGAAGAAAAGAAAAAAATGAGAAAATAAATAATATTATAAGAGAAAATGAGAAGATGATGAAGATAGAATCACTGAAATTCCCGTGAGATTGTTTCAGTCCACTTTTGGGATACATTTTTGTAACGAAATTTGTGTCTAAATATGAAATGAGGTGAGAGAGAGAGAGAGAGAGAGGGAGGGAGGGAGAAAGGAAGATGATCATCAAAGGTATTCAATTACAGTTAAGTTCTTATTCTGTTTCCGAAATTCAATCAACAAACTTTCAAAGATTTTATTCATCATCTCATTGGTTTCCTTTGACAATTGGTGAATCTCAGTTTGCTTAGTGACTTTTTCAATGTCCCAAGTTGTTGTTACACGAATCATCATGTTAGCCAATTCAAGTTTCATCCTTTTGTAATTTCATGGGGAGAAAAGTAGTAAAAAATGGTTTAATCTTCGTGTTCATGTCGATGCTTGTTTAAGTGGTGATGTTGACTGAGGATGATAATGAAGATCAGAATGATGATAGCAGTTCTGAAAGAGAGAGAGAGAGAAAAGATTATGGTGAGTCAATTTTGATGATAAGAATGCGAATCACGTTTATCAGTAGAGTGAAAATAAAATATAATATAAAAAAGAAGATGAAGAGGAAGAGAGGGAGAAGAAGGATGAGAGAGGAAGAGCGAAAAGGAAGCAATATGAGAGATAACAAGAGGAGGTTTATTGTATTTCATCCTCATATTAGTGGAAAATCGGGCGATGAATAAGTCTACCTTTATCTCTGTTATTTTGTTTTTTGCTTTTCTTCATAATCATCTCACTCTCTTCATCATCTTTCTCCCCTTCTCTCTCGATTGAAGACAACTCGATAAGTGAGTAAAGAAAGATGATATAACACTGAAAGTGGAAGTAAAGATATTTTGTTAAGACTATATTCTTAACTTGGTTAAGAAGGATTGAAGAAGAAGGCAAAATATTATGGCGATGATGCATCAAGTCTGCATCTTTTCCTCTTCCTGCATCATTATCATCTCTCCATCTCATTTTCCTCCTTAACTGTGTATCCATAAGTTAAAATTCTCCTGTGTGCTTTTCCTCATCATTTTCGGGATGATAGTGACTATGTGTCTGTAAGAAGATGAGAAAAAAAAGAGAAAGGAAGAAGATAGAGTCTGGTGAGATGGGTGGAAGGTGGGATATAGAATCTAAAGGAAATAAAGGTTCGAGAGAGAGAGAGAGAAAACGTCGCTCTTCATTTTTTCTCTCCTTCTTGATGTGACGATGGAGAATCAACAAATCCCTTGGGTTATTATGCGGCTAATAACAAAATCAAGAAGCCGCTTCAATTCTAGAGTAATTCATCTATTCTCGACACAATTTCGACTTTGAAAGTTCTACATCACCATTTTATCTTTCTTAATTTTCTCCATCTCTCTTTTCCATATATTGTAAATCACCTAGAAAACAGTCTCTCTCTCTCACTTTCTCCTTTATCATCACTAGAGAAATGTTGATTTCCACCCTTAGAAGAAAATTTCTTTTTTGCTTCTCTCCTGCTTTTTGTTCACTCGAGTACTTAATGTTGTTCTAGTTGTTGTTATATTAAACACACTGTATCAGTTACTCATAAGTAAGATTTTCTCTCTCTACTTTTCCCTTTTTTCTGCATCATCTCTCCAGTGTAATTACAGAGACTCTGAAGACTCATTTGGGTTCCACTTTATTCCTTGATTCCAAGTTGTGTAACTTATCCTGTTTTACTCCTCATTCTCTCCATATCCACCTTCACCTTTCTCCTTCTCCTATTTTGCTTTTTTTCTTCCATTGAGCAACCAACCTATTCGACATAACAGTAAACAAGACTTAAGTTAACAGGAAATTGTAGTGAAACTTGGATAGAAAACTTAAACTTACAATCTCACCTTTATTATCTCACTTGATAGGTTAACTCATCTGCCTATGGAATAATAACCAAGGAGAAAGCTCAATCTTTTCCACCGCCACCACCATCACCTTAATCAGGAATTCCTCCTGTTAGTATATCAGATCTTGGAATTTTTTTTTCTTCTTCTTCTTCTCCTCTTCGTGTTCCTCCTTGTATATTTCTTTTTGCTTCCTTTTTCTTGCTTCCTTCCTCTTTTCCTTTGCTTAGAGTTATTGATAACAAGGGTTACACTTAATTACTTTTCTGTTCAACGATAGAGTATATGTAACCTTTTAAGAAAATGTTATTGGTATAAATCCACAATTCCAACTGGTAAAACCTTGTAGATGAGGAAAAGGATAAAGAGAAGAGAAAATAATTAGTAATCAAATGGAAAAACATAATGAAAAGTAAATCTTTGAATAATTAAATTTCATGTTTAAGATAAAAGGTCAACTATTGATGGTTAGAAAAAAAGGTAAACATAATTATAGAACATGTTAAGACTTTTTCATGTTTTCTTTTTACACTTGTTGTACTAACCTTTATTTTCTCATTAACTTACCTTCTTCCACTTTGTTGGCCAGTCATTAATTACTTCAGGTTGTGTTGATTAAATAATCAAGGTTGATACAATTAGTTAAGATAACCATTAGATTAGAAATGGATAAATCAAATGTTGGGAAAAGCTTGCGGCAAGTAAAGGATTAAACTGACGGTTAGACTTGTGTGTTGATCTCCACCATTTACTTAACATGTAACATGTATTTCTGTTTATCTACTTAATTGTGCAACAACAAAAAAATAGGTTGATTACAACAGTGAACATGAAATTAACAATTAAATCAGTGATTAACCTTTAAACCATCAGATTATTAAAGGTAGAAAATTGAAAAAAAAGCTAAAATAAGTGTAGGGTTACTTACATTTTCATCGGGCAAGTTAATCTCTTTTCAATTAGATTGATAATACCTGTTGATTTTGATGACGGTAAGACAAGTTAATTATGGTCAAATTGTGGTGATCAAATGATTAAAGGATAAAATTTCTAGATAATTAAAAATTAAATCAATAAAACTTAAACTGATTGAAGCTCCAATAAATGAAATCACATAAACATCTTAATCCATCTTGTTGACTTTTCCTTTTGGCCAGTCAACAAAGATTGATACAACTTCATATTAAAAGAGATTAACAATTTACTTAATTATAGAAATTAAATATCATTTTAGAATATAATTTAAATCCAAAGCAATTAAAATTCAATAATAAACACAATCAGTTAATTCAGTTGATCGAAATCTCTTGTTACTGGTGACGCCATCTAGCGATCGCTTAGATAATAGAAAAAAATTTTTATTCGTTAATTGTGATTAACTAATTGTTAGAATCTAATTTCAGGTTATGTTAAGTGACCATTAGATTATGTATTTCATCTGAGAATTTTTATCAAAATTGATCAATTTCGATTAATTAGAATTTGGGTTCAATTGTAAATATCTAATTGTTTTTATTAGTATTTTAAGAATTAATTGTTTCTATTAATTAATTAGGAGTACAATTAAAATTTCTACCTTTATAATCAGGTTTTAAAATGAGATTTGAAATTGTTGATTGATTAAAGAGAACAAAATAAAAAGAATAAAATAAATATAATGTAATCATAAACCTTAACCATTGAGAGAATATTTTTCTTTGAATTAATTTGATTCTAAGTGAAAAATGTTGATTACAATTTCTCTCACTATTCCAATTAATTTATATAACAATTTCTTTAATGTTAGAGATGAAAACACCATGAATTGTGGGTGGAATTTCAGCTAAATCACGAGGAATCAATATTCTTGCCATTTCCATCATAGTTCGAGCATCCAAGAGAATAAGGAAACTTTTCTTACTCTGATCACTTTCCAGAACAGCAGATAAAATGATACCTGAGAGAGAAAGAAAGAGATAAAAGGTAAATAAGAATATGATATGAGTTAATTGAAAAAGAATTGGGGATAAAATGGTTGTTAATATATAATAGAAAATCAATTACCATCATCTTCTCCTTGATTATCAGGTTTAGGTATGAAAAAAGCTTCTCCAGGGAATGCAGTCTCAGATGATTTCCACATTCTCACTTCGTGAGTTTCCAAATCAAGTTTGATGGCCTATCAATGGATAGAATTAATTGTTTAGTGGTTTATATGATAAATAAATTGTTCTTAAAAGATTAAAGATGGATTATCAAAGAGAATAGGATGAGATAACTTACAGAGTGAGAGAAAGTTCCCTGTTCGAATGTACCACTTCCATAAGCATATCGATATTTGGTACAGGCGAAAGAATCATTTAATGTTGGAAGTTCAAAGCCTTAGGAATAAAAAAACGTTTATACGAAATTATGATTAATTTTGTTTTTCTTTCTTTTCCATGGATTAGAATTTAGTAAATCTTGAATAATTAGAGAGACAAATATTGAAGAGGAAAATGTTTTAGAAGATGAGAAAAGAGAGATTATGCTCACCAGGTTCGGCTAATTGTTCGTATGTTAATTTGATTATTCCATCGATAAGATAAGCTGAAGCAGAGCAATTAGGTAGATCAACCAAATTATTCTGTGATTTAATATTCTGCTGAGGCTAAGGAATAACAAGAGAGAAAAATATTAGTGAACATTAGATAGAGAAGATTAACTTGTAATGTGTTTTGTCATCTAAATCAGATTGTGTCATGTTAGCAGTTAATCTCGCAAACCTTATGGTTTATTGATTAGGATTAATTTGGGAAAGAACATTTTTTTTCTCTTCTTTTTACCTAATAATCTACAAGTTTTTTTTTCTTCTTCTCTATTTATTATATTAATACTTACTACTCTCTTTTCCAATGGAAGGACATATCGACGAGCTGTTGGTTGACATTGATCATTGAATTCATTTGATCGAAGATATTTCAAGTGATACTTTTCGAGAACTTTAATATCCTCGTAGGCAACCAAATCGATGATTGCATGTCCATCTTGCTCGTAAGCATTCATTACATGGAAGAAGAAAAAAGCCTCAGTTTCATATTCAAAGTCAAATTCTTGTTCTTTTCCGGTTGATTTGTTAATCACATAGAATCGGGTTGGTTCATCAGGTCGCCATTCCAAACATTCCTCCATTGATTTACCTTTAAGTGTACAAGTAGCAAGTTTGAAACCATTTACCACCAATGGTTGTTCAATTATAATAATGAAATTCTCAGTCATGGCAAAACTATGAATATAACTGAATCCAGTTTTCCATCTTGAAGGAATAACAGCAATTTTTTTAACTCCTTTGAATGCTGTTGATTTGTTTAATTAGCCAAGTGTTGTTGTTGTTGTTGTTGTTGTCCACCGATATTTGGATTAATTGTTGAAAGAAAAAAAGAAAAAAGCGTTAATTGTTACGTGGAAATATGAATCATGAGAAGTCAAAATATCATTTAGGTTAAAGAAGATTAATCATTTTGATGATTTGTTGTTTGATATTTTCTCCTTACGATTTGATGATGGAGATTTCGAATCTTCTCTTTTAGGAACTCGATAAATGCTGTACTTCATTCCGGATAAGAAATTGGTTCCAACATTGTAATAAGAATCATCACTCGCTGAGTATAATGGATGAGATGTACTGAGATTAACCGAAGCCTCTCTGTCCAAATTAAACTTTAATCAAATGGGGGAAAAAATAATAAGGTGACATTAATTAATAATCGATTATAAAAGATTAAGGCAATCATGATTGTGATTATTACTGGGAAAAAAAGTAATGTCATGATTGGGTTTCTTTTATAAAGTGATTATGTGAAATATTGATTAATTACCTTTTCAATACCTGTCATATTTGCTGGATCAACTCTCCAAATGTTACAACTTTCAGTTGCTACAAATAGACGTTTATTCATCAGGTAGATATTGGAAATATCGTTATCGGTTAAATCACTTGGTATTAATTGGTTAATTAACCGTGCAACCAATGGTTTACTTGGATCAGGATAAGCTCGAGTTCCAAATTCTGTGAAAACGGGTTTACCATGAGCCATCATCTTGGTGAAAGCGTTTGACCGAAGAAATTTAGATGAATAGAAAACTCGACCATCTTCAAAGCGAAATTTAATCAACATCGCACAACCATCAAGCCAATGATTAAGAGTGAATCCATCTTCAAGATCCCATTTACCAGGGCCAAGTCTAATCAACGAACCTTGTAACCATTCAGGTAAAGATCCTAAAAGGTGAGACAAATGAACACCATTAGTAAATGAAAATACGGAAACGATTGGAGGGAAAACTCTATATAAAATCACAAAGAGATTCAAAATGAAAATACTTTACCTAATATTTGACATTCAACTTCTTGAGGACATTCATTTACTGAACGAAAGTGAGGTTCAATCAATTCCATGGTTCTGGTGAGAGGAGATAACTGATTTAGTTAACAATAAAGGATAAGAAGAAGAAGAGGTAATTGTCAAAAATAAAAAAGAAAATAAATTCACTAAAAGTAAAGATGATGAAGAGATGGATTATCAATGATGGAAAACAATCTTCTGCTTCTTGTCTTGTTGACCGATGGTTGAATCTCTAAATCCTTCAAACTGCAAGTGATTTGGTTTAATCGAAATTAGAAAACATCAATTATCCAATGATGATGATGATGATGAGTACGTTTTGATGTTACTATTGACCATTTATTCAAAGTGTGATCACCTTGATTGTATAAACCAAAACAATGTTACAGCCCCTCAATGTTAACTGCCATTGGCTTTTAAATTTCAATACAACTCTCCCCATTTGTTGATCAAGGTTTGGCCTGAATTTTTGTTAATCAACTAGTTGTGACGTTGTCTTTTTTTTTCTCCTCTGCTCTTACTTGTAAAATAATCATCACTTTTTTGTTGATTACATGTTATTCCAATGATGATTGGGCATCTTTTTCCTTTGATTTATTTACCTTTTTTTTTCCCTCCATCATGGTAGAGTCATCATAAAGGTTTCTCTTTCATTTCTTCCATCACCACCAAAGTATCAATACAGTTCTCCACTTGTTTACACCAAGAGCTGAAATAATAAACACCATTCTGAAAAATAAAATAAAAAGAGAATAGAATTAATTGATTAAAAAAAAAGAACAAATCAAATTAAAAACAAAAAATTCTAATTTTAGAAAAAGAATTTAAAAAAACACCAATTACATAACATGTTAGACTTTTCTAAACAAAAATTGACTCACTTGTTGATCTTTAATATTAACTAGACGATTCTAAAGTCTCTCAATTCCAAATTTTAATTGTTAATATCAGTTAATTATTTCTAAAAATCAATTGCAAACAACAATTAAAGAAGAAGAAAATTAATTAATAAAGAAAATTAAAATTCACTTGTTACTTTTTTCAAAAAAGTTCGTTTTCCAGTTGTTCTTTTTCTCTACACCAGATGGAGTTACTTTCGCTTCGAAAACGCGATTACTCTGCTGTTTTTTTTTCTTTTCTCAATCAAATTGTCGGTGAAAATTTCTCTTTGATTGTTTGGGTTATTAATTAAATTATCTTCTAATATTTTTTGGTAAATTTGATTGTTTTATTTATCTCTTTCGACTGTTCAACTTTACGTGAGTGAAAATGTCAAACGAAATCACTTTTACCGATACTGGTAAATTACTTAAGATGGAGGTTGATTATTCCTCTTCTTGTGATGAGAAAATTCCTGCCTGTAAAAAGGCTGCTCAGGTTAGTGGAGAAGAAAACGTTTTTCTTTTCTTTTATTATGTCTTGATTGAAATTCTTTTTTTTTGTTTTTTAATTTTATGTCTAATTGTTGATTGATTTTGTTTCTTTCATTTGTAGGAAGGTAAAATTGATTCTGCTTTGGAACAGCTTTTAGCTTTGGAGAAATTGACTAGAACGGTGAGTGATGTTTTTTTGCTTTATGGGTTTTCTCATCTGACAACCAGTTTTTCTTTTGGCTATATTTGTATTTGGCATTTTGCATTTTTCTCATTTAATATTCAATTGATTTATTTTGTTTTCTCTTCTCTTGTTTCATATGTGTATTTAGGGTGCTGATACTTTTTCTACTAGTCGAATTTTGGTTGCTATTGTAGACATTTGTTTCGATGCTAAAGACTATAAACTTCTCAATGATCATATTATTGTTCTCACTAAGAGAAGAGGTCAAATTAAAAAGGCTATCACTGACATGGTTCGAGAATGTTGTGAATTTGTTGATAAAATTACGGACAAGGAAGAAAAATTGAAATTAATTGATACCCTGAGATCTGTCACCGCTGGCAAGGTAAACAATTGTTGTTTATTATCCTATTTGCTTTACCTGTGGGTCTGTTGGATATTAACAGTTAACTTTTTTTTCTCTCTCTTTTCCAGATCTATGTTGAAGTTGAAAGAGCTAGATTAACTCATAAATTAGCCATCATGAGGGAAGAGGAAGGTAAAATTGAAGATGCTGCTAATATAATAGGAGATTTACAGATTGAAACATTTGGATCGATGGATAAACGGGAAAAGGTTGAACTTATCTTGGAACAAATGAGACTTTGTCTTGCTAAAAAGGATTTTATCAAAGCTCAAATTCTTTCCAAAAAGATTCATACCAAGTTTTTCTCCGATGAGAAAGTTCAAGACCTTAAGATGAAATATTACGAGTTAATGATTAAAATTGACCAACAAGAAGGAAACTATTTGAACATATGCAAACATTACCGAGCTGTTTTTGATACACCAATTGTCAAGCAAGACCCTCAAAAGAATCATGAAGTTTTAAAAAATATAGTCCTTTACATCGTCCTCTCACCATTTGACAATGAACAATCTGACCTTATCCACCGTATCAAGGTAGAAAAGGGTCTAGAAGAATTGCCCAATTACGGTGAAGTATTAAAATTTTTCACAACCACCGAGCTAATTAATTGGCGACTATTCATTCAAGGATTCGAAGACATTTTAAGATCAGGAACCGAAGGTTGTCCTGCAACCGATGTTTATGGATTCTCAGAACTTGGAAAGAAAAGATGGAAGGACCTTAAAAGTCGTGTTGTAGAACATGTAAGTTAACATTTATCAGTTAATCATTCTCACTTAACCATCAAATTTAATATCTTCTTTCAATACATTAGAATATTCGTATTATGGCCAAATATTACAAAAGAATTCGATTAAATCGTATGGCTGAACTTTTAGACCTTTCGATTGTGGTAAGTTTACAATTGATTATTGGAAAATTTTCCTTTCTATCAGTTAGTTTATTCTCATTTCTTTCTTTTTTTCTTTTCAGGAAACTGAAGAAATTCTCAGCAACTTGGTGTGTAATAAGACAATTTGGTCAAAAGTTGATCGTTTAGAGGGTATCGTTAATTTCGAGGCTCATAAAGATCCAAATGAAGTTCTAAATGATTGGTCACACAATATCAGTGCCTTGATGAACTTGGTCTGTAAGGCTGATCATTTAATCAACAAAGAGGAAATGATTCATCAACATTTGAATGTGTCCAAAATGGAAGCATAAAGAAAACTAATGGTTAATCAAAAATGAAAAAGAATTAATTGTTTAATAAGAATCATTTGAAATGTTTTAAAGATCAACATTTTCTATAAAACAAAAAAAATCTACAAAACTGTCAAGTTGTAACTAAGTTAACTTATTTACAAAATATAAACACAATCTAATCAGACAGTTTAAATTGATTGATTTAAAGTTTTTCCTTTCTCTTTGGTCAGTTAAATTGTCGACGAGAGCAAAAACTTGAATAGAAAAATTTTAAATCAATTTCTTCTCAGGCCTTTGTCATCTTCTATTAATAACTGAATATTTTTCTCGTCTTCCTGTTATACTTTTTCACCAACTTTTCATTCACTTTGATTAATTACAAGATGGAATCTATTTCCTATCAACTGTAATCCTAATTAATTGTGATTCTCTTATGTGCTCGCTAATTGTGACTTGGTATATTGGATTCCATTTCTAACTCTCCTGATGAACTCTTCTTTTCCCAGAATAAATAACATTTGTCCAACAGGTAAACCAATCTGTAAATAGAGAACAATTTAAATCAATCTAATATTTGTATTAATTGTCAACAGGAATGAAATTGAATTAGTTACCTCATGATTAACCAATGAGTATCTAAGAAACTTCATCACCAAACGATAATCAAATTTGTTTTCAGAGCAAAAAGTTTTCACGAATGACAATTTATCGATTCTTGATTCACTTGAATCCCATTCTTTGGCTATCAAATTAAGGACACTTTCAATTGATTTTTCTGTGAATGGAAAAAACAAATGATGATAATTAGATTATACTAATTGTCGATTAATTATATTCACCAATATCTCCTAAGGGAATAAATTGATCACAAGACCAAGAGGGTTGACATTCTGTCCAAACGAAACCAATTTCATCAGCAAATTCACCGAAATTAGAATAACGACCCTGTTGAAATAAGAATTTGATTAATTGGTTGATTGTTGATTCTTAATTGTTTTGAATTTACTTGACTTTCGGTGAACAGGAAGATGAGATGTTCATCAGTTTCATCATTGATCAATTCACTGGTGAATCTTTGTTTTAAATAATCTCGCAACGATGATAGAAATCCTTTCCTATCTTCTTCCAATTTAATCTTAATTGCTTGTCGATTAAAAGCTTTCAACTTGGAATGACTGATTTTACATCGAGCGCGATTAATTTTGGTCAGATCAAAATTTTCAACGATCTCTTCTAATGTTGACATTCGAGGTGATTTCGGTTCGTATCCACCAGCGCTTAGAATTAGGTAGTTGATTATTGTCTCCGGATAGAAACCACGAGATTTAAGGTTCATCACACCGAGATCTTGGTGCCGTTTACTCAGCTTTTTACCATCTTCGTTCAGAATTATCGGAATATGAGCAAATCTTGGTGGTTCCCATCCGAACGCTTTGTAGATCATCAAGTGTTTCGGTGTTGATAATAACCATTCTTCACCTCTTAGAACATGGGTCACATTCATACTATGATCGTCAATTACATTCGCTAAATGATAGGATGGAAAAGAATCACTTTTGATTATCACAAAATCACCTTCAGAATTTTTAAGGTCAAATGTTGTCTCATCAAAGATTAAATCGTCAACTGAGATAATCTGCTCTTCACAGCGAAATCGAACAGCATAACGAGCATTTGATGATAATTTCTCATCAACTTCTTTATCTGTTAAATGTCGACATCGATTATCATAACGAGGAATTGATCTGTTTTTAATGGCCTCTCTTCTTAGAAGGTCAAGTCGAGTTGTTGAACAAAAACACCGATAAGCCAATCCCTTGTCAAGTAATTCGTTTGCTTTCTCATTGTAGAGTTTAATCCTTGCTGACTAGACATAGAATAGAGATTAAGGGATAAGATAGAGATATAGACTATATATTAATATGATTAACTTAATTGATAGAGAACAATTTAATTCGGTAAATCAAACTTGAGAAAAGTACCTGAACATAATTGGGAACATCTTCTTGACTAAATGGTCCTTTGTCCGGTTTAATGCCAGCCCAATTTAAGACATTGATTATGTCTCCAATAGAAGAAGGTACAACTCGTTGCTTAAATCAAATTAATATCAGTTATAAATTGTAACAGTAACAAAAAAAAAGAGAAACAATTAAGTTAATTGTTCTCACCTGATCCGTATCTTCAATTCGTAGTAAAAATTGTCCATCATGTTTTCTTGCAAACAGATAATTGTACAAGGCTGTTCGTAGACCACCAAGATGAAGAAATCCTGTTGGACTGGGAGCAAATCGTACAGTTATCACCATAATCAAATTTAGAATCAAATTAAACTTAATTGACAACAATTAACAGTTAGAAAACAAATTTATCCCATCAACAGTTTTTTTTTGTTTACAAGAAAAAAGTGAAAACATGTTTTTCGGTTAGTTCTTAAAAAGATCAACAGATGTCACCACTGTTGAGAAAATACGAAAAAAAAACTTTTTTTTGAAAGAAAATAATTTAATTGTTGTTGATTAATGCTAATTAATTTGAAGTAAATAAAAAGTGAACAATTGTTGATATCACAATTGAAAGATTTTCAAGGCAGATGGAATGATGAAAATAATCAAACTATTCAATTACCAATTGAACTTTAATCATTTATTGAACATCAATGATTAACCTTTATATTAATTGTTTTGGTTAATTGTTGTCCTTGATATTTAATCAAATTAAACGGAAATAAAATCAATCCTTTATTTACTAAACAATCACTAATCATAAGAATTTACTGATTAACTGATGATGCTAATCAGATGATGATTAACATTGTTGATGAATGAACACTTGAAACAATTAAATGTGATTGTTAGTGACAAGTTTAATTACAATTAACCTTGAAATAATGTTTTGTCAATAAATTCAGGGTTAAAAGGGATAACCTCAAGTTCAATTAGAAATCAATTTTTTCCTCTAAACAATTAATAAACAATCAACCCTTCATGGTAGACAATATACATTATTATTCAAGATGTAAACAATTAAATGAACAATTAACAAAAAAAAAACAAAACAATAACAATTGAAACTTGTCTCGTGTTAATATCATAATACAAGATAATTTAAATTGTCAACGTTAATCATAATTTAAAATGACCGGATACAGTTAACTTTAATCACCAAGATCATGATTTAAATTACCTGTCAAGGTTAATGTGGTTAAATTAGACTGTTAAATGAAGGTTACAATTAATTGATTAGGTTGACGATTTGCTTGAAATGAGCTTTATTTTCATTTTTTCTTGCCATATGAACAATACAAAATCAGCAAGAATCACAATTATCTGGTTAACTTAACCATGATTATGAAATCAACTGATAATCATACAATTAATATGATTCAATATTTTGGCTATCAGAGTCATAACCATTAGAACCATAACCTTCATAACTAATTATAATACCGTTACGAGTTACCAAAACCATGATAATCATTATTTTCCATGTGAGAACCAGAATTCTGGTAGGATAGCGCGACATGAGCCCCATGAAGACGATGGTGAAAAGTAAAGAATTGAAATCCATGAGTGGTTCCAAGTCGATAGTATTGTTTTGAAAACGACCTTTTAAACTTTAATTGTTGAAACGATTACTTATTCGGACGGAGATTCAAATTACAATTCAATGATATCAGAATCAAGTTTTAAATTATTCATCTGAAAATAAAGAACTACTGATTAAATAATCATATGATATTTGTATAAGTTAATTGGGATCAGCTTTTTATTTTATTTTTATTGTATAATTAATACTGTGAAAGATTACATGGTTTTCAATGTTGATTAATAACAATTACAAGTTGCTAATCAATGTGCCCAGAGCTGATTAACAACTTAATTGTTGTCTTTCAATGGGATGTAAGGTTTGTGTGATCACAATTTATGAATCAAATTAACTTAACCTTGACTATAATCAGTTGATTGTCTCAATCACTATCAATCAGATCGTAACATGACAATACGATATGTTGACCATTTTAATTTAACTTTCATCATTTTTTAACCTTCCCAAATGGTAACAATTAGATTTGACTATGTAAATTGTGATATCATGATGATGTTTTTTTTATCTCGGTGGTTTAATTGATTGTTAGTTAATTGTTATTAATTGTTTTAGCTTAAAGTTGCCATGATAAATAGTAACAATTTTGATTTCAAAATTAAGAGAGAGAGAGAGAGAGAGGAAATTGTTATTGTAATGATTAAAAGTTAGAATGATTAAATCAATCATAATCATCTCAGATCCAAGAATGTAACAATTTAATTTAAATGGTTAATCATTGATGATCAATATAATATGTTAATTGTTAACAATCTAAGCTTGTTGGTTCACCTGAATCAATGTAAATAAATAGTAAATGAATTCACAATTGTCTTAATCACTTAAAATTGCAATCACTTGAGATTAAGTGAAAAAAACAACTTGTAGTGAATTGAAATTTGTCTTTTCTCTTGATTGTAACAATTAAATCATATTAATTGATCAGCAATTAGATTCAATCAATTGGTTGGGAACCAGTAATTGTATTGACGATTATGATGATGATTAGGATTATCGGCAAAATATTAATATGTTGTAATATTGACATAAGAAAGTCAAAGAACTCGTTGAGATTAGGTTAAGGCCAATAGTTGATTGTTGATTAAAAGTTTGTTAATTAAATTGATTCCAAACGTTAATTCTCACTGATTATCACCTTAATTGTCAAGCAAATTGCAAGGGAATCATAGCACAAACATAAACAGCTCCTTGATTGTGTTTCCATGATTTGGTTCCGTTAACTTTTTCCCTGATCACCAATCGTAAATCAAATGGCCCCTGTAAGTAAATAACAATTAGTGTTTCAATTTGAAAGTAAATTCAACAATTAACGATTATCGATCAGTAAATTACCTTAGCCGCTGCAACAGGAACAGCATAAGTAAATTGTGTGATGTATTGTAAATTACGTTTAATTGGGATCGTAATTACCGAGATTTTATCAGACAATCTAATTGTTTCTCGACTTGCATCAATTGGCTTGACCATCGGCAATTCAACGATACGTTTACCTTTGATTGAGGCAAATTTACCTGTAAGAATCCTCTCAATACCACGAGAAGAATCAAATTGAGGAGCTGAAACAATTAATTGCCAAACGAAAAGTTAATTATAGTAGTTAGTTAATTTCTACAAGAAATAGTTTGCAGATTATCATGAAGTAAAAAAAACTGATCAGTTGATCATTTAAACAAAATCTCGTTATGATTGGATTGTGAAAAAAAATCTCATTGATTTTAGTTGATTTTCTCGACTCACTGATTGTAATTAACTATTAGTCGATTGTTATTAGAAAAGTTAATTGTCATACTTACTGAATATAACGGATAAGGTTGTATTCTGACCTCTAAATAAAGGACATCGCTCCTTGTGGTCACAATCAGAGATGTTGATCTTAATATCTTTTGACATTGAACTACGTTCCTTGCCTGAATTGAACAATTAATTGAACGTAATCAATAAATTAACAGCAATTTAAGGTAATTAACTTACATAAATGGTAAGGTGATTTACCAGCCAACGAGAGTCCAAAAACCATGAAAAGGATTGTGATTGAAGTGTATTGACCAATGGTCGGCATAATGATTTAGTCTTCTTGTTGTTATTCAATTAGAATTGTAAATTAGTAACAATTATGATTTAGTTAATTATCCAGAAGATTTTGGCTGTAGGCAAATATTACCGATAATAGATGTTAATTTCATACAGTTGATTAAGATGACAATTTAAAAGATAAACAATTTAACTAATCACAACAATTAATATTGTAATTGGATTGAAATTGATTAATTGTTAATGGTTAATTTAACACAGAATTTAATTCAATAACAAAATAATAATAATAATATTATTATTAGATTTTTGGTAAAAGCAACAATTAAGGTAAACTTTGTTTTCTTATAACAATTATTAACTTTAATTTGGCTGTAATTAACTAATGATGTTACAATTGTGATAATTGTAATTGTAGTGAATGAAGATGATGGATAAACAATTTACTGATTTGATTTGATTGTAATAACCACTTTAACTTATCTGGTAAACTGGTTAGATACCCAATCCAATTATAAACATTAAGGAATCAAGGAGGAGGAGGGTTACAATTAACTAAATCATTTGGAGGTGGAGGATAAGGAGGTGGCCGTTAATTGTTGTCTATGGGATTGTTGCTTATCGTATAAGTAAACAGTTAATTGTAATAACAATTAATTAAAGTTGCCGTCATTGTTAACTATCCACTTTCACTCTAGATTAAAATGAATGATTGTATTTCCGGAGCTTTAATATGATCACCAAGATGAACATCAACAACAACAATTAAGCTCATTCTCATTTTGCTTGATGATTATTGGCTAATTGTGATCGTGATTGTTTCAATCAATAACCTTCTTCTTCCGTATGATTAGTAAATTAATCTTTCCGCATTATCCTAAATAATTAATCGTTAATAATCAATATGATTGGTAACCCACTCTCGGGATATTAAAACAATTAACACACAAAATACTGTGGTAATAATTGTTGTTGATTTAGTATTGATACTTAATTGCTTTCACTAAAACGTGATCAATTCAATGATCATCATCATGATTACTATTATGTTAGTAGTTGCTAATTTAGTGTGTTAATTGTTTTCATTTAGTATTGAAATTGTGGTTTAATTGAACTTTTTAATGTCTCAAAATTAAAGTTACGATTAATTTGATTGTCGTCATCATGATTAGGATATATTATATTTAATTTAATTTATACACTAATTTTATCATTTTATATATATAATTAACTTGATTTGCTCTTGAAATATATGTTTAACTTTTAATTACATGCTGATAATTAATAATTGATTAGTTAAAATGATTAATCTGATAATTAACGATGATGATGTTAATACTTTTTTGTTTTACAAGAAAAAGGAAATGACTTGTTCAGATTAGATTGTGATTAGTAAATTGTAATGAAAGTGGAAAAAAAGTTGATGACATTGATTGTTTATTAATTTTTTGAGCATTTAAATTGATTTTAGTTTTAAATTGTGGGGTAATAACAGTTAATTGTTTAAGAGAAAGTATAAAAACAACAATGATAACAGAGTTGGAGGAGGAAAACTGAGTAACAATTAAAATTGATGAGGTTAAATTGTGATTTGTTAACCAGATTTACATTTACAGATTTAAATTGTTGATAGTTAGAGATCGAGAGCTGATAGTTTAATTGTTGATGATGATGGTGACAATTAATGGAATGGATTTTGAAAGACTTAGTGATTTGCATTATGCAATCAAATTAATGGTTAATTGTTGATGATAACAATTAAATTGCGCTATTTTGCTCATCTTCAGGACTTGGTGATGTCCATTCACCATTGGTAGTTGATGTGGTCTTCAGGTCACCGGAAGAGGCTTCTGGTAAAACTATTGTAGGTGCTGATTGATGAGCCGAAATGGCCTGAGTAGCGGCAGCAATGGCCGCTGCACACCCACCGGAACTTGTAGGCCGAGCAAAACGAAGGGCATTCGAGGTTGAATTCGAGGTGAAAGTACCAACACCACCAGAAGCCTAAAGACAAAGGTAACAAAAAGTTTCAAAAAGTTTCAAAAGTTACAAAAGTTCAATGAAAAATTGATTCAGATTTTTTATCGATTCTCACCTGAACTCCGGTGTGTCGGGTGTTCTTATAAGGTTGAAAGAGACAAATGTAAAGCTTTGGTATAAAAAGGCATCCGATGTTAACTGCAGCACTGATTGATATGCATGTTGATAAACTAGCAAGTTGAATCTAGATAATAATCACCAATGAAAACAATTAAATCAAAAGTAATCACTTGTAATCACTTCAAGGTTAACAATCAATCTGATATTATCAAGATAAAACTTTCTGTTTGATTATAATAAAACTTTTGATAAACAAATTCAAATCAACCAACGACATTTGTTGTTATTGATGAATTAAAGTTTCAATTTAACTTTCATCATTTACTATTATTGTTGACTATTGAATCTGAGATTAGCTTTTGATTAGATATCGATACGTTAATTGGTTTTTGAATTAATATTACGATACAATTTTCTCAATTGATACAACAATTTAATCACTTTTCATATGAATCAATGAACTATTAGAATCTCATCTGAACAGAATTAAACTTTGCACACTCAGAGTAAAATACTCATACGATAAACTATCAAACCTTTTATTTACAGTTGATCAATTTTGATAACTTATCATGCTCATCATAATCTCAGGTCTTGAAATATTGGGAAAGTACCAAAAAAAATAAAAGGATGCGGAAAGATAATCTTTGCTTCTGGTTCATCATTCAGATTTCATTTATTCATTTTTTACAAGGATAAACTTGAAGGTTGTTGTTGTTGTTATTTATTTCACCCTGTGATCCTATCGATGCATGAACATATATGTAAGATTCACATGATTACTTGGAAAAAACAACAAATTGTTCAATCAGATGGTTCATCAGATAACATGATGCTCATGATGATCATGAATCTCATCTCATGTTAGAAATGCAAGCTTGCAGAAAATTTTACTCTCTCATTGAATTTGAGTAACATGTTATTTAGATTATTATAATATACAAACTTATTAGAATAAAATTTTTTGTTTCGATCAATTTTTTGTTTCTGTTCGAGATATTTATAGAATTGGGAAAGTTTGGATTTACCTTGAAATCGTTATTGGTCCCAAAATAGATCGGGATAAAAGCCAACCAGACGATGCAAGTGCTGTACATTGTGAAAACTATGTATTTGGCCTCGTTGAAGTTGTCGGGAATCTTTCGAGTCTTAAATGCGTACATTGTACATAAAAGGATGAGTAACATGTTGTAGATTAGTGAGATGGCCGTTGCAGTCGCTGAGATGCCACATTGAAGTACGGCAACAGTTCGTGAGCCCAATTTTTGTATCACCTCTTTAACGGAAGGTGGATCACGTATAAGCCAGGCCACAACGAAAACCAATTGAACGGAAACTAGACAAGTACAAATGATTACTTGAGACTTTGGTGAAGTGTAGGAAGGTCGTTTCAGTCCATTTTTAACGCCACGATTGAAAATTCGTGAGATTCGGTTAGTTTTGGTTAGAATTGCAGAATAACATATACAAAGGCCTAAACAAAGGCCAATTCTAACCACGGTACAGGTTAATAAAGTGGGTTTCGATAAAATGAGCAGGGAGACAATGTAACAAACCATTAAACCCAAAAGTAAAATATAACAAAGTTCACGGCCAGAGGCCATAATAACCGGCGTCTCATTAAACCTTATGAACGTCATAAAGGTAAATACAGTGGAAACGATCCCGAGAGACGCAAAAACGGCCGGAAGAATTGTCCAAGGTGAATTCCATCTCATGTATTCGAGTGGTAGTTTATGACAAGTTTCCTTGAATTCATCGGGTACATAACCAATCGGACAAGAGACACAATCAGTAAGATTGTAAATCTTTTCATTCTCGCCACAATATGAACAATGCCAACAACAGGGTTGACCCTCATGAACCTGACGGAATTGACCACGATCACAGTCCCGGGAACAAACTGAACTCGGTATTTCCGAGTAACTTTCATTTTGATTTAAACCAAAATTAGGCCAATCCAATTGACTTAAATTAAACACTAACCTGTTAAAATATGGAACATAAAAAATACCCAAACAATTAACCGGACAATCAACCAATATCCACAAAGTTAACTTACGTTACATCACTTTCCCAATTACCAATTCTAATGTAATCATATTCGGGTGGACTGTAATTTAAATTGGTCGAATTGTCAACAGATTGATTAACAGAAATTAAAGTTGATTCCTTAATTTTCTGATATTGAAAAATATCATATCGACCAGGAGCATCTCCATCCTTGTTAAATTTAACTGTCATACCTTGTAAACCTAATAGTTGATTGTAATCAATGAGAAAATTTGTGATCAGATTAATAAAGAAAACAATTAAGTGTTAATGAGCTATATTTCAAATTAATCAATTCTTTATAAATTATTTTCTTCATCTTCTTCTTGGTGTTGATAAAAGTATTATATTGGTCATCTTTACTTGACCAATGGTCGAAAGGAAAAGAAAAAGTTAATCAATTGATATTAAAGTTGATATAATGTATTAATAGTATTTCAAATGTTGATTAAATTAATCAACTGATTCACTTTGAACCTTAATTGTTACTTAGTTTTTCTTGATAAGAGCCACTTATCATCACCATCATTTTGCTATATCTCATAGAGACATAAACTTGACCATTGGATAGTTGGTCAGAAATATATTTTTCTCGAACATGATATTTGAAGAGGGAAGGGGGTGAGAAAAAGTTCTAATATATCTTTTAGTATTACATATTAATACTAATCAATCGCTGATAATCAGTAATATCTGTTTCTGTCATCTAAATTGTTGATTAACAATAAACCAGTTGAAGATGAATGGATAATGATGAATACTCTTGGTCAGAACAAAAAAAAAAGTAAACTTGACCAGAACTTTTTTTTTTGCATCCTTAGTATTATTTACATAGAGAAATATATATATTTTGTTGGATGTATACTATTACTGGTGATTGTTGGAAGGATGATAATCATGATAAATATGAAGATGATGAGGATGATGATCAGAATAATATAACATCTTGAATAACAATCAAATTTAACAGGGATAATAATAAGTAAATGATGAAAGATTAACTTCTTGACCTTCTCAAGTTTCTTGTTGACCAACATACAGGAAGAAGGGATGGAAAAGTAAAGTAATCGATTTACAAGATAATTATTTATTCACATTCACAAGGATTTTCTCATATTGTTATCATGAATTCATGGAGATGAGTAGTTATCAAGTTCACAAGTCCAAGATAAATATTATAATCGGACAATTGTATCATTAGTTTTATTTATCATATTGATTGAAACTTTTTTTTTTCATAACAATTATACTGTTGGATTATTTTACTGTTTGATTTGGGCTAAAAAAACACAATTATCATCGTGATTTGATTAGTGGGGATTAATCCTGATTCAGTTGAACTTACTAGGGAAAGAAACTTTTCTTATGTAGGATAAAAGTTCTTGTCCTTTGATGGGTTCACGTATACATGGGTTCGATGGTGACCAGAAATCGTGATTGTTGTTGTTGTTTTTGGTTAAATTTGAATCGAAATAAGTTTGATCAGTTTTGACCTTTGGACGGCATCGGTCAGCTAATAGATTATGAATCGCATGAGCCATGGCATAAACTGCATCAACAACGAACGGAACTAAACCTTCCTGTTCATATTTGACCAGAATTTCTTTACCTGGATATTATGGAGAGAGAATTTCGAAAAAAATTTATCACAATCTCATGTATATTAAGATTACTCATGAATTAGAATAAGTTGATAATCAGAATTTGGAATGAACCTCACGTGTTGATATACATATATACACACCGAGAATATGCAAGTACGTTTATGATCTCGAATTAGAAATAAGTTTACAACTGAATAAGTTCTGAGATTCATCATGTCCTCCAAAGAGAATGTAAGAAAAGAAAAACATTCACATGAAAAATAATCAGAACTTTTCCTTTTTCTGTAAATGGATTACATGAAGAGGAGTCTTACCACCCACATCCTCTGATTTCCTGGTTCAGTTATAATCTAATTGCCCGGAGGTAATTTCAAGTTTATCATTATTGTCGTTTACTTGATAATGATTCAGTTATCATGTTATTTTTACTGGTTTATATAATATGAATGTAACTTGATTAATATGAATATAAATGATAAACGATTGTGATTAAAGTTTTTTATACCAATATAATATTTACCTGTACACTTTTTTTGCCCCAATGATTTCAAGTTAATTGCTTCAGGGGATTTACCACCATTGGATGAAGTTGAATAGTCACTGGTGGTGGAAGTGGCTGAATCCATGGTGGGAGTTAAATAACAATTAAAGTGCTGCTCCCAGAAAGGTTTAAACCAAGGGTTCCGTTTATTGGTTAGTGGATTTAATTGTTTAAAATATTGATCAAAATCTGAAAGGAAAATAACAACAGTAATTACAATCTGATTATCGGATGAATTTCATCATGAATCAGAATCTTTGTAAACAGAGATAGTTACTCTTTATTAAGATAACTTTTCAATTCTCCCGATGAAATATAATTAATATCAGCATCAAGGGAAACATGATTATCATATCAATGTCATGATAAGACAAAGAAGTGAGAAAAAAATTATCATGATAATAACAAGAATATCAAGATAATAACTAAAGAATTGAGAATTTGTTTTCAGAACTTTTTGTTTTTTTTCTAATAACATGAATAGACAATTTTAACTTTTTAATTGTCGCAATTAGATGGTAATTAAAACTATCACTCACACTCAGTATTGATGATTATATTGTAAAATAGTTGATCAAATGATAATTAGGATCGATCGTTGAAATTTTCTGATTGAAATAAATAAAAACAAAAACGATGAACCATTTTAATAATAAAAGATTCGAGGGCAACAATTGACTGATTGTTACGCTATTCATTGATAACAATTACCAAGTTACCTTAATGATAAACAATTAACAATTGATAATAAACTTGAGATTGACCTGATAATCAGAATAATGAATAGTTCAACAATCTAAGCGAAAAAAAGGAAAGATTAAATTGTTCTGTTTCACTTGCATGGTAATCTGATTCCAATTCTGATTCCATGTTATCAGAACTTTTTTTTTTCTTTACCTTCCATTATTATTATTATATTCTCATCCTATTAATTCATCCAACGGGATAGAGCTCAAAGTCTTATTATTAGTCAAAAATGCTGACAAAGATACTCTTCACTTTCTCTCTCTCTCTCACTCTCTCATCTTTATCATCATCAGCATCATCTTCATCTTCATCCTTTTCATTTTTTTCTTCCTCATCTTTCATGAAACCTTTTAGGTGCATTGTGTAATAATCATCATTGTTATCATCAGATTAACTAAGAGTGGGTGGGAAGAGGTAAAATTATTAATACAATGATGATGATGAAGATGATAATGATGATAATAAAGGATGAACAGGGTGAGTGAAGGTGAAAGTAGATTCATGGAAACCATATAAACCTTAATATCTTTAAGTTATAACTTTTTTTTCATGATAACTAAATTTGATGCATCAATGAAACTCAGTAATAGCTTAAAGAGTAGTCTTAAATTGTGATTAGTTAATCATCAACCTTTTTTCTGACAATTTCAGGTTATATGTACACAAATATATACCTGAACAATTTATAAATAACTATATACAATAATCAGATTTTGATTAATAAGAAGGTAAATTTAATCAGCTGTTATGATAATATAAAATTAACATTTTCATACGAGTTAATTGTTCAGGATGATTAAAAACTTTATCATTCTTTATGTTTTCTGTACATAAAATATTATTATGAAAATTTCCACTGAAATCTAATAATCAGTAATTAACTTTGATTTTATTGGTCAGTTAATTAGTTGTAATTCTGTATATTTGGTCATCGTTTTTTTTATTACTTGACCAATGGAGTTTTTTTTCATTCTTATTATATAATATTTTGATTCTATTATTATCTTATCATCATCAGAGTTATTTCATCTTGTATTCAGCATTCATGTTATCATTTCCTTCCGATTTCCTTAGTATCATCATCATCATCATCGACTTGATCAACATCATCTCCTGATTGTTTATCATGAACCTTTTTACCTCCTCCAAGTGAGATTAACTTTTATTTGAATGGATAAGATGAAGACAAGAAATGAAATATAATGAGGTTCATGATGATGATCATCATCATGTTCATCATAATCAAAAAGGAATAGACAATTTGTAATATTTGTCTCCATAGAACTGGTCAATTCTTATGTTTGTTACCTTAATCAAATTGAACTTATCTCAATAACTTGGAATCTTATTCAAGAAGTAAGCTCAGAATTCACCATGATGATAGTTGAAGCTATCAAAAGCAATTTACTATCAACAATCAACTCAATTATATAACAACAAGAAGTAAAAATCGAGAAAAAAATATCTACTCAATCCAATATTAACTCCAATTCTAATTATCATCATGATGATCATCTTCGTCTTCCTCATGAAACTTATTTCCTGGAATCAATTTCCTCTCCATAAAGAAATAAACGAGAAAAAAAACTTATACAAAGTATTTAGAACTTTTTTCTCGTTCTTGTCTCGAATACTTTAACTGATGAATTATTATTAATAATGATGATTTTGAGTGTTTCTTGATACTTCATGTTGGAATTGTTGTTGCTGTTGATCATCATCATCATCATGTTGATGATTCAATGGATTTTGAAATTTTCTTTCCTCATCTATTATCAATATTTGCGGCAAAGTTTGTGTCACCATTGCCTCGGGTAATTTTTACCTTTACAGTTTCTTAACATCAATTCAAACGGTAAACAATAAATTGATCAATGTCATGATCATTATTAGTTTTCATTATTATTGATTGAGTATTGATGACAGTTTCATATATTTGTGTGTGTGTTTTAAATTTAAAAGGGATGATGATGATCATCATCATGGAGGATGATGATGATAAACTGTTTCTATTTCTTTCTTTTCTCATATTTGTTTGGTCGAAAAGTTTTTCTGTCCTACTATCATATATTAGAACTCTTCGAATTTGTTTTTTTATTAAAGTTTCGAGTTTTTTTTCGTTCTCGTTTTTCAGTTTTTCTTTTTTTATTTCCTCTTATTTCTGCCTCAGAATTTAATATGATAATAAAGATGAAGATAAGTCTATGGATGATGAGCAGAAATGAAAAGTAACATAGAGAGAGAGATTGAAGATTTAATCGAATAGAACTTTTATATCAGAATTTTTAATCAATCGAATATTTCTATTTGTTGAGTTCGAAAATGATGATGATGATGATGACCATCGTCTGAGACTATGAGATGATGATAAAAGAATAAAAAATTCTTTCATCATTTATCTTTTTCTTTCTCTCTCTCTCTCATTTTGTGTTACATTCATTCAGTGATTGGAAATTAAACAAGAAGGAAACGAAAGTTCAATTGACTTGAAGAACTTTTTCAAGAACATCGAATATCAATTGAATATCTCTCTTACTCTTTTCATTTCGATATAAGAAAAGTTGACACATCGAATAAAGAATAAGAATTATATTTCTCTCACTCAATCAGACATAAATTCGAATTTAACAATTTAATCTCAACTAAATTCAGTTATAGGAGGAAAAATGAGTAATTAGGAAAACGATTTTTCATTTCAGAAAAAAAGAAATGAAAAACAATAAGAGAACAAATTAGTTTTTCTACCTGGTAACGAGTTTCTTTTCGGTAATATTGTAATCGCTCCGACTGCCGAATCTTCTTGACCTTTAACTGGATACAATTTACGGCCCCAAGAGTCACTTCCAAGCCAAGCAAAGTGGCCCACTTTTCCGGTCACTTGGGAAGCATTTAGTAACTTTCGACAGTTATCCTCATCGACAAAAAGTACTACACCTCGAGCATTTGATTTGGTATAAAGTTTATTAATTATTCTAATAAAATCTTCGGGTTTAGCATTCCGTCCAATTTTCACGCCTTCAGCGATACAAATTTTCTCTTTCGCGGCAAGATATTTAAAATATTCTATCCCACGTTCACCATATTCACCCTCTTCCGCAATGGTGGACACATAAGTCCATTTGAACAGTTTCACGATGTCCACCATCACCTGAGCCTGGAAACTATCGGGAGGAACAACTCGAGAAAAGAAACCAAATCGACTCTTATCACTTAACTCGACACTTGTTGAAGCATAACTAATCTGAGGAATCTAATTTCGATACAATTGATTAAGATTAATTAAGATAAATCCATCATCAATCTAAAACTTACCTGGAAAAGACGTAAAATATTTGCTACCATAACCGATACTGAGCTTGATGCCGCTCCGATAACACCAACAACAGGATCGGAGGCCAAAAGATGAGGTGATGAACCATCATCACATTGATAATCATCGAGTGTATGATCAACCGTAGTTAATGATGATTTAACAAACTCCATTGTCTGTTCTAAGGCATAAGTATCTCGTGAACAGGTATCTAAAATGTGAACACCTACACAATTAGAAACAATCAGTTAATCATCTTGAAAACGAAAAAAAAACGCGGCAAAAGTTTAGTCATTCAAATTTTGCGAAAAATTTTCTTTCATCTTTTTTTTTTGCTTTGACAAAACTGTGAAAATTGGTTTGCTTTTTAATCATAATAATCATCGAGGTAAATATTATATAATAAGGGGATTGCAATGAGAAAAAAATTAAGCTTAAATCAACAATCAAATTCAAATAAATTAAAATGGAAAAAGCAATTAAATCAGTTGGAGTAAACAATTTAAATGATTAACCCAGTTAAAGCTATTGAACTTGTCAAATTGGTTGAATGAAAAGGACAAAATTGTCACATCAAATTGGTAATAATTAACATCTCAATCTAACCATGATTAACATTAATATCTATGCGCATACCCTGTATGATTCATATGAATATATTAATTTTCTGTTCACAATTTGAATGATGAAAGATAATCATCTTCAGGGTGATGACGATGGTGGTGATGGTGGTGAAAAAAAGTTCTTGAAATGTTCAAAAGTTGAGATGGTAACGAGAAAAAAATAATATACTCGACACATAAATTCAGGTAAATTTTAAGGTAAAAATGATGAAGACAAAGGTTTTTTTTAATCTTGATGATAATTCATGATGATGATGATAAGATGATAACTTTTACTGTCAACAAGGATGATTATTTGTGTTAAATGTTGTCCAATTTACTTTTATCATTGTTATTTGATTAAAAAAAAGTTCAGTCTCTGCCTTATAAACCTGAACACAGAATTGTAATCATAAATTCTGACAGTTTTATCAACATCTATTATCATGTTATCTCTCATGTTGACTGAACTATTATCATGATTATCGTGATGGAAAAACAAATAATCACTTTTAGTTTGTCTTGGGAATCTTTTTTTTTCTCATTCTTCTCGAATAGCGAGAGAGAGAAAAAAAAAGTTCTAATTGAATTGAGTTCGACAACTCAGCTTGCAATCGGAAATATGATTTTTTTCTCGGTGAAATTGACTGATGAAATTCAGGGAAGGTGGGGATAATATACCAATGGAATCAGAATTTTGTTATTTGTTATCAATTTTTGATTGAATTATGATGAGGGGAAGAAAAATTTTCATTCTCTTCTCTTTCCTTACAATTCTGTATATTCTTTCATGATGATAGAAAAGTTCTGAGTAAAAATAGAAGTAGAAACTTTTTTTTTCTCTTTCTTTCTATTCCTATTCTTTCACCTCCACCTATCACATGTGTATAATATCATGAAAATATTGCTGAGTCTGAATTAATATCAAATACTAATACCCTCTCTTTTTTTTGTTATTGTTATTTTTATATCAATATGATGATTAAAATGATCACCATTGATTATTATGATAATAGATTCACAATTAGGATCTGAATGGCAAAGGTTATCACATTGATTGAGTTTCTCATCATGATTATCATTCAAATTTAAGTCTAAAAGATTATTCAGATTCTCAACTAATCTTTATCATGACAATACTTATCATGCTAAAGAGATTTCATATTTCATAGATATGGAGAACTGAATATTTGATTCTGGAATGGAAAAAGTTATCTTTATAATGATAATAATTGGGAGTGGAAAGTTTCATTTAATATATAAAATATTATCTTCAACATGTTAAAATCTTTTATCAATTATCATGGTGAAAATTTTTCACACTAATATCATGATCCTTTTTACCTGTAATCATCTGATTGTCTGATTCATTTATCATTTCAGTTAATGATTATGATGAGTTTACTAATAGACTTTTCTGTTAAAAAAAAGTGTTCGAGATCAATAAAATCTTATCCACCTTTACCTTTTTCCTTATTCTTATTCTTCATCCTCATGTTCATATCTATTTTTCAGAACTTTCTCCATTTTCTCTCTCTCTCTCTCTCGGCTCAACTCCCATGCTCTTCATCTTCCTGATCACTCCAGGAAATAATCTCAGAGTATATTGCTCCAAGTTATCATTTCTTTCAATCAGGTAAACTTTATTTTCCACCATCACCAGGTATTAAAGACTCAATGATCCTGTGGTTTTCCAGGTCCACTCTCTTGCTATCTCTCTATTTATCTTCCTCTCTCTCATCAGTCTAAATTCAGTCTCTCTTTTCAATATTTATCTCCTCTCTCTATATATATATTCCCATGTTACCAGTACTCACCATAAATCATCAACCATGAAATTGATTGGTCCCCATCAGGCAACAATAACAAACTATTACACTGATAATAATACAAACTGATTTATATTTTGTTTCTCATCTTCTCATTTCAACCTCAATTTTATAATCTTAATCTCTTAGACAATATTGAACTTATATCATAAGTTTCAAGACAAAGTTTCATCATCATGTTTATCATATCAACTCACATATATATGTAATATTATATTTGTTTGGCTCATTAAGTTTCTGTTTAAATAGAGAGAAATTCAATTGTCTAAATTTAAACAATTGAATTTCATTGAATTTCAGTACAAATTCATATTAATATTAGTTTAATCTTACTACTGAATATAATTACATTCAATGAACTATTCAGTTCTGATCATGTTGTAGTTGAACTTGTTGAAGTTTTTGTATTTTTTTTTCATTCCCAATCAACTTATTCACATACAATTTACATAATTTGTTGATGATACATTTATGATAATAACAACAAATGAATGTGTTAATTGTAAACACTGAACATTTTGATTATTTTATCATCAATTGTTTATAAACAGCTGAATTAATCATCAGTTGATGCTAATTAAGTTAATCACATTTCAATGAACTGTTCATTTTGTATTAGTTTAAATATTAGTTTTTACTTTGAGCTGAAAGCAAATTGAGATGATACTTAACCATTAATTGAGTAATATGTTTAGTTGAAGATGAGGATGAGGATAAACTGGGTTACCCTTTTGTTTTAATCAATTCACTTTAGTAACTCAATTGATTTAATATTATTTCCATTGTTTATGACACATACAATATGATACAATATGAAACTAATTTACATTTAATCACATTTGAACCATTTAAGTTTGATTAAATCAGTTAATCGGGTTTATTATTATTAATTCTGGACTCTCTCATTAGTAGTTGCATATTTAAGTGTATTGAACAGTTGACTTAATTTATAATCACTTGAAATACAATCAATTGATTGTTGACAATTTTAAGTAATCTATCAATTTGATATAACCATTATTTCAATCATCATTAATAGTTTGGTGAATATCTCAAGTCCAGAACTGTCGAAATGGGAATTGAAATGAAAAGTTGATGAAACTTTTTGAAACGAAGTTCGTTGAAAAGATTCAATTGTTTGAATACAAAAATGACAGAATTAGAATCGTTTCTGATTTAATTGTCTTCGATATCGTTGATTGTTTCATATTACAATTAGAATCCTCATCACTTTGACTCTATCTTGTTTGAAAACTTTCGCTTACCTGAATCACTAATGTATTAGATTGGAAAAAGTTATTAATTGATTGATGAACATTATTAGCATATGATTAACTAACATAATTACTTTGCTAACTGACAATCAAAGACAATTAATCAACTCATTGTATATAATTATTATCATTATATTACAAAAAGCAAGAGACAATTTTTAATCCGCAACAATCAACTAACATGATTAATTCATTATTCTTGATTAGTGATTATAATATATTCACTGATTTCACCTTCTAATCAAGCTTTTTTTTTTGATTGTTTTTCAATTAGCATAAACCTTCAAATGAGACATCTTAATTGTAATCAGTAACTTAAATTCATTCAATCATGAAATTAATGTTATATCATATTCATTGGAAACATTGACTTACATAATGATGAAAATGTAATTGAGTTGTAAATTTGGAACAATCAAAAATGATAAATAATAGAAAATGTTGTTAATTGTTAATGAACCAATTTAAGTAAACAGTTACCACAATGATTTACACTGAAAGGCGATTTGAATCAATTGTTTGCCAACAATCAATCAACTGAATACAAATAGAAGTTAATTTACTAATGAGAAAATACAATCCAAACTGAATAATAATCACAAGTGTAAAAATTGCCTCTCATGGTCAATATTGATTCATTAGCACACTGGACATTAAACTCTGTTTCAAATTTGATTGTAAATCAGTGAATTAGCAGAATTGATTATCTTGTTTATTTGGAAGCTGAATTATATCATGAGAAAAAATTGAAATCCAATGATAATAAAAACATGTTGCTCATCATTGATGTTGATGATATTCAAATTCCCCTGAGGCTATTGAAATGTGTTGACATTTCATATTATTATTACAAAATTGGTGTGAATATCATGTTTCAATTACTTTTAAATGATTTCTCAATCGTTTCTATCATCATGATTATGTAATCAAGTGAATTAATCAACCACTAATACAATTTTCGGACTGATAATCAATAAATTGTCTGCAATTTAATTGACTAAAATTAGGTGAATAGCTCAATGATACAATTAAAGAATATGAATGGAAAATTTTGATATTAGAATCAGAATTTAATGTGAAAAAATTGGAAAAAGATTCAGAATCAAGATGAATTATTGTCTAAATAGGAAATTGAAGATTGTCTCTCTTGAAAAGTTACATTGAAATGATGCGGATGATGAAAATGATGAAGATGAGGATGAAGATGATAACAAGTAGTTTTTGTAAGAGTTAGAAAAGAATGAGAAAGATAAGAAAAAAAAAAGATGAGGAATTGTAGAGATACACAAGAAAGAGAAAAACAAAACCCAAGTTCGAGGAAAAGTTCTGAACTTTTTTTTTTCGTCTTCAATCTAATATAATGGCTTCTCGATCAAGTGAACTGGAAATTCAATTTTGTGATCAAACTGTGAGAGTAGTTGAAGTTACTGAGTAACAGAATTAAAAAGTCAAAGGATGATAAGGATAAGGTAGAAGGTGGGAAGTGGGAAGTGGAAGTGGAAGGATGAAGATGAAATTGTTACCTGGATTTTTCTATGTTTTTTTACATCTTCATCTTCCCTCTTCATGATCATCATATTATCATTTCAATCAAATTGATTGTCCGCAAACTTGAAGATTGTAACATTTATCCAAATTGAATCATCATTGTGATCATTTCAACAAATACAAAGACACACAGGTAAATATTGTCACTGAATCAAATTCAATTCCAAATGATTCACTATTCATGGCGAACATTGTTTAGAGAATATTTCATTAGAACTTATCGTTTTTTTTTCTTGTCATTTGATTCCATTTCTACTTCTCTGTGGTTTCTCAAGTTTATCATGGAATCAGAAACTCATTATGTTCGAATTTGATAGATTATTTTGGTTAACATGATGATTTCTGATTCTTTTGGTGATGTATCATTGATAATTTTCATCTCTCAACGAATGTCCACTTTGAGAACTGAAGGGAAAAAAAGTAACTTTTCCTTGTTCGAGGTTGAATTTTTGACAGGAAATTCGAGAATTGGAAAAAATATTCTATTATTCGATAAAAGGTCAGTATGAAAAATATCAATGAAATGATTCCAGAACAAGGAATAGCTCTTAATATAACTTATGTGTATTTTATTTTTCGAAGAAAAAATTTTCCAAACTTTTTCCTTCCATCACTCTATATGTAATTCTGATGGTATAATAGAAGCGATTTTCTCAATAAGAGATTGTTAATCATTTCATTTGATTGTTGAGATTTAATAAAATGCTAATCACTTGGAGATTAATTTTCTATCAATCGATGGATAAGAATTGAAGATGATTCTTTTTGGAAGATAAGTATTATAACAAACATTTCGAGAATCAACTTAATTATGATAAGATAGAAATTGAGTCAATATAACAAAGTTATTTGAAGGAATGAAAAGTTCTGTGAAGATGAAGAGAAACTTTCAAACCCAAGAATATAAATATTATTTGATATTCTCGATTCTGTTCATCTTGAGAATTTTTATCGAAAAAAAAATCTTCAACATTATTTTCCCTTCTTTTTGTTTATCGGGAAAATCTGAAATTCTAAGTTCTAAACGAAACAAGAAGATAATTCAATGTTATTCTTATCGAGAACAAAATGTCGTGATATCCTAACATAAAGTTCAAGTTCGTTACTTTTATCGATAAATGTTATCGAAATAAAATAATATCGAAAAGGTCAAAAGTACCAAATCGTAACAATTTTCCGAATTGAATTCTATTATTTGAAAGCAATTGAATCGCTGATTGACTATTGAGAAAAAAACTTCGGGTAATTAATCAATTATATTTACCTAAAGTTAAATTAGGTAATAATTTATCGTCCCCGTTGATCATGTCGACGGCAAACAACATGGCCTCCATCCTTTGGATACCTTTGCCCTCCTTGATTGACCCACAGAGATGCTGCTCATCTCCTGAGTCGTGCATAGGAAATAAACCGCCGATATTAATGTCCCCATGAAACTTGACCATTTCCTGTTTACTGGATGACCGGTAAGGTGAGTTTCGATAGGCGACACCCATTTGAATGGTGTAATTATTGTTTTCTTTAATTGTCCGGTCAGAATTAAATCCGATGAACGATCGGCGAGGTCGATTGTTGTAAACATAATCGTAACAAGTATAATTACCAATGGTCAATGGTTTTGTGTATTCGTAGTAATTTAAATTATCATTAATCTCTTCATTTTCCTTAATTGTTGTGTTAACATCACATGAGATCAGAACAATTAACGATAATATGTAGCAAAGATACAAATTTGACATCTTCAAAATGTACACAATTTAAATCACTTTACTTTGGTAGATATACTTTGGTTACAATTAATTTTAATTGTTTCTGATGTTAAATTTTGTTGATTGTTAGTATTTAAGTTAATAACATTTGATTAGTTTGGGTTTTTTTGAGGGGTTAAATTTGCAGAAACAAAAAAAAACGAGACAATTAGTTATGTTGACGGGTTAATTTAATTGTTTGTATTGTTGTTGGTGGTGGTGTTGTTAATCTTTATGATATTGTGAAGTTAATTAAATTGGCTCAATATTATCAGAATTAATCTGATTAACTATTGATTGAATCAAATTTAATACAATTAATGAGGAAAACGAGAAGACGGAAATGAAAGGGAAATAAACAAGATAAAAAAAAGGATTAACCAAATGGATAAGGATAATCAAGTGTTGGAAACTGGATTTAAGTTACACTTAGATCGCAAAAGGGATTTGTAAGTTAATTTTGTGTGCGATCAATCAAAATTGATAATGTTGATTCAATAATGAACTGATGAACAGTATCAACAATTTACTTTGATAATAATAATTGTTTGCAAGATTGTGATTACGATGATGAGCTGATGAAGATGTTAATTGTTGACTAGTTTGACTTGTTCATGTGTTTACATCATTTTACCAACTGATGGTCTTTTCTCATTCTGATCATGTTATTGGAGAGAGAAAGAGAGAGAGAGAGAAAAGTTTTTCTCTCCTTTTGCCTGTACAATCTCATTGTAACTTGCTCACTTTCACTTTATCACATGTACATTGTGGATTATAGCAGAAATGATGAATCGAAGGGAATTGATAAGGTTGAACAAAATTCTGTGGCCATTGACTGTTAGTGTGAGATTGAGCTAATCCTTGGTGTTGTACTTGAGACTGATGAGCTTGTGGGGGTGAAAAATGAGCCGTTTGAGGTTTTTGTTGATGAGCTGCAGTTATTTTGTGTTGGTGAGCTTGTTGGGGTTGAGGGTGAGACATGTGAGAAGAGTGAGATGAATGAGAGTGATGAGGAGCGTGGGAGAAAAGAGACAGCGGTGTGCCCAATGGGGGAGCCAATGGAGGAGCCAATGGAGGAGCCAATGGTGGTACCAGTGGAGGTGCTAGCGGCAGTGGCGGTGGTGGTGAGGTTAGTTGAGCTGGTTTACGAGTTGATTGCTGTTTAGGTGGCTGTGGTGGTGCTGGTTGAGCCGATTTTGGGGTGGATAGTGCTACTGGAGATTGTGAGTGTCGCGATGTTTGTGGAGCTTGGGATCGTGATGATTGGGATTTTTGTGGTTGTGGTTGTTGTGGTTGAGCTGATTTTTGGGAAGGTTGGGTTACTTGGGATTGAGAGTGTCGTGGTGTTTGGGGTTGTTGTGGGGCCGGTTGCGGTTTTGGTGCTTGTGGTTGGGGTTGTTGGGGCTGTGGTTGTGAAGATTTTTGGGTAGGCTGCATGACGGGAGATTGTGAGTGTCTTTGAGTTTGAGGAAGTTGGGTTCGTGTTGATTGAGGTTTTTGCGATTGCGGTTGTGATTGTGAAGTTGGTTGAGCTGATTTTTGGGTGGATAGTGCTACTGGAGAGTGTGAGTGTCGTTGTGTCTGTGGAACTTGGGTTCGCGGCGATTGTGATTTTGGTGGCTGAGGTGGTGTTGATTGTTGTTTTTGTGGTTGTTGTGAAGACGGTTGAGCTGATTTTTGGTTAGTTTGTGTAACAGGGGACTGTGAGTGTCTTGGTACTTGTGGAGCTTGGGTTCGGGATGTTTGCGTTTTTTGTGGCGGTGGTTGTTGTGGTTGGGCTGATTTTTGGGTTGGCTGGGTGACAGGGGATTGTGAGTGTCGAGGTGTTTGTGGAACTGGATTTCTCGCCGATTGCATTTTTTGAGATGTTTGGTGAGTTGTTTTCCGTACTGGTTGAGATTGAAGCTGTTTTTGTATTGGCTTAGCAAATTCCTTATTTTCAGATGTTGGCTTGAATTCAAGTTGACCCATGTTGATGTAAAAACCTCCATACTGAGTAGTAATTGTGGACGGTATGAGTTCATCATAAGCTTCTCCATTATCAATAAAAGGATCAGTTTCATCATAACCCATGCCTTTATCGATGAAATCTTCAATGACATTATATTTACTTTTCTTGGGACCATATTTATTGTTGAATTTTTCGGCTAAAGCCTTAAGTTTAGCATCATCATCAGACCCCAAAGAATCATCGAATTTATCACCATCTTTACCATTTGCTGTATCAACTAATTCAGGGTATGAATATTCAGGAAAATATTCCGATGTTGAAGTTGGAAGTTTAATTTCCAAACGGATAGTCTTTTGGTTCTCATCGTTTTTTTTAGTTTTCTTTGAGGCAAAAGGTCCGATACCTGGAATATCGGGCCCAATCGAAGAGGAAGATGTAAGAGTCGATAATGTGCCTCTTTTCATCTTGACAGTAAGAAGAAAACAAAACAACAAGAGACACTAAATTAAAGAAGAAGAAATAAAATTAACAAAAAAAAACCAAAACAATTACAAATGTCATATGTTTATGATATTCTGTATTTTCAATCAACCCCATCAGCGAGTGCGGTTCATTTAAAGTAGTGGGAGATTTAAAAGAGAAGAAAACAAACTTACATTTAGTCACAAGAACAATCAGTAATTAACCAATAATAATATTTTCTACAATCAAACAATTAAACAATTAATTCTACAAGTAGAATAGAAATTAATAGAAATATTAACAATTCTCCAAATGAAAATACAAAAAAATCAAATTCTCGTCAAGATCAAAACAGCAACAAGGGTTAGTTGAATTACGTTTTTAGAATAACAAAACTACTCACAAATTTCCACAATTAACAAGTAACCAACAAGTTGATTTTCCTTTGGAAAAAATTTTAGAAAATTAATTAGCTTAATTATCTCTATTAAAAGAAAACAATTTACAACTTGAATCAATTTGATTCTTAATTGTTAAGACAAAAATATTTCATTCGAAATCAACGCCATCTATCGATTTATAATCGAAGGTAAATAAAAGAATTTGAGTTGTGCTGCCATCTAGCGATTTTCTACAAAAAGTAGGAATCGATATTTGGAAAGAAAAATATCCGATCCTTTGGGCTCCATTGAGGCGCCAAAAGTGTTGAGTTTGTTTAATGTTGAGATTAATTTTTGAATTGATTTCTTTTTGTGGAATCAGTTTAATTTAATTATCTCTTGTGTTATTTAGTGTTGTTTGTTTAGTTTGTTGTGTTGATTTAACTGCTTCTCTGGGTGGTGATAATGTCCAATTCATGTGTTAAACAGGTTAAAAGTAAATATTGTTCATCCATTAGTGAAGGATTGAAAATATCTTCTTGGCTTCAAGGGGATCAAGCGAAATGTTTAATTACAGTTAGAAAAGCAATTAAAATATTTCAAGATCATCTACAGTCTGAGACTTGTCATTGTATTGTTAAAGCTTCTAACCTGTTAATCTTATCGGTCAATTATTATCAACTGTTTCTACTTTCATTGGAAAATCATACCAAGTCAATTGAAGAAGAGGAAAAAAAATATGATCACGTTGAGAATGAGGGAAATCAATCAACCGATTCTCAATCTCATTCCGAATCTGGTCATGGCGATGAAGCAATTTCCGGATCACAATTTCCAAATATTGAAAAATCTAAACCTTCCCGTTATTCTAACCTTTTATTACCACAATTTGTTAACATTAACACTCAACAAACTCTTCTTAAACCATTGAACAAATGTATTCAATGTCTTCGAGAATCATTTGCTGGAGCTTCAACTATTCCTATTAAATTACTTGAAGGATTAAAGATTAACACACTTTTATTAACAGCTCATAATATTTACCATTGTTACACACAGCCTGATTACCGATACCTTTGTTCACGATTGATGGTTGAATTGGCTGGAAAAATTTTACCCGATGAAAAGGAATCACTACTTACAGCTTATCATTTGCTGATCCGTTTCTACCTTGATTATAATATCTTATCAAAAGCGGATAGATTTTTAAAAATGGCTCAATCACTGATGGTCACCATGAAGATAGAGGGTTACCAAAATTACCAAGCGGCATTAATTTACCTGGATCAATGTGAAATTGAAATGCGAACAGGAGAAGAGGATAAAAGTGGACTCAAGTTGAAAGATTTCCTAAAATCAGATTATCTCAAGAAATTGACACTTAATCGTTACCATTTGAAAGGATTAGCTTGTCTGGTTGCCTCCAAATTCCCGTCATCATATCAATTCTCACAAGAATATAGTGAATTTATTGAACCTCTTCACATCGCTTTGACCATTTTAAAACGATGGCATCGTCATCTACTTTATCCAGATGAAAAACGGCCCATAACAGTTGAAGAAGATCATCTTTGGTTTAAATATGAAATTTACTCATTTAGCTTTGAGATTTTAACCATGATTAAAACTTTCTACATGAACATTGGATTCCCAATGGAGCTATCATTTTTTTCCAACTGTCTTTTAGCCCTTACCCGTCGTAACTGTTTTCTCAATTGGTGAGTAAAGAAATCTTTCCATCAATATATCAATATCTAATCAAGCGATCTAATTACTATTCTCTTGATTTTTTTTAGGTCCACTCAGATCATGAAAATCGGTGCGACAATTGATATGAAATGTGATAAAACTAAATGTGCTTCTTTCAAGCTTCAACTTGGGATTCTTGCTCTCACCTTTAAATCTAATACATTTACTAAATTAGATTCTGTTAATAGTGAAAACGATGAAGTGAAACCACCAGGATTAACAGTAAATACTCATCGTATTGATTTAGATTCTGAACTTCAAGAAGATTGTGATACAGATTATTCAAAGATTACTGGAAATTCTGGTCCTGATCGATGTGTCCATGATCTTGGTCATGTTCCTGCTTGGGAGGTTGAGAAAATTTTAAGAAAAGGAAACTTTGTTAATGAAGATGAAGATTTTCCAATTGATGAATTAACCATCATGAAAATGCTCAATTCAACAGGGATGAAACTTCCCTTTCCTTATAATCTTCGTTACGTTGAACTGGTTACTTTAATATGTTGTGATAAAAAACTATTCAGCAAACAATTGATTGATAAAATATTGGAAATCTTTTCAGAATTTACAGACTCCAATCATCCCATGTATGAAAAAGTAATTAAGCACCTTCACATTACCAAAGAAAATTTTAATTCTCAAGAAATGAGCGATGTTATATTAATGGAAGCAACTTTTTTCGATTTGTTGACTGACCAATATCTAGAAAATGGTCAATTCGAACCAGTTATAGAAACAACAACCATTTTCTTATCGAAACTTATATTACCTGCGCCAATTTAACCATTCGAGACTTAATTGGTCGACTGTTGTTAAAACTCATCATTGCCAAGAATCAATTACTTAATGTGAGACCATTTTTTCCAGAATTTGATTCAAAAGAAGTTCAAGAGAAAATGATTCGCCCAATTCTGGTCTGTAAAACACCGCCACCCGTTCGAGTTAATATGAATCGGATTAATGCTCCAGATAGAAAACCAAATTATCGAATGGATGAACTTCGTGATTATGCTAAAAGTTTACACGAAGCTCCCAAGAAACAAGCACCAAGAAAATCTTCTAGAATTTTATCTCGAAAAAGTTCCGTGATAAGTGATAAATTGAGTTCTACTGATTCTGATATCGTTATATTGTCAGAGAACATTGAACCCCCGCCAATGGTAACACCAGCTCGGCGAACTCGAGCTCCTGCCAAGAATAAAACTCCATCAACAGCGAAAAGTAAACGAGTTGAACCTTTAACTTCATCGAAAAAGTTAACTAAACGAGAACTCAAAGAAAATGCCTTGGATAGTTTGACCGAAGCCATTGATTGTATTACACTTTCAGATGATAAAGATAACGACGAAGAAGAAGAAGAAGATGTTTTCAATAATCGACAGAATATAATCACGAAATAATTAATGGCCCATCAAATGTCACCAACAACATCAATGCTCTCAAAAGTTTACTCACCTTTTTCTCTAATCATCCACCAATCGATTTCTATCTGGCTCTTCATTATCAACTATTCCTACTCTATTCTTCAACCAACAAACCCAATCCACTCGCTTCCTCATATCATTTCCACGAATGTTCAAATTCTGCTATGGTTCGATATCGAGCGATTTTCACAACGGAAAATAAAAAACGTCTCAAACTACCAAGCGAGCTCTCTATTGGAAATTTGATTTTTAATCCAGTAAATGACATTAATTATCAAAATCTTTCTAAACAAACACAAATACTTCCCGAAACTTGGCGAATTGTACAAATATGTTCGTACCCGAACACCAAAAGTGACCGGGGAATTCCCGATCTAATGATAACTCGATGGCAAAAGAATAAGAAAACTTTAATGATCAGAATCAAAGGAAATCCAGATAAAGTAAGTTCTGAACTTTTGATCTTTCGAGTTCCTCATTAATTTCATTATTTATTTCTCTCTTTCTTTTAACAATTAGTTTACAAGGAATTTTATGGACGAATTTTATGAAATCATTGAACTTTCCAATGCCTCAATACGGAAACAAGACAGTCAAACATTCTGGACAGCGAGATCGGCTCTTAATCAACGACTTGAAATGCTTTTGCAAAGTGTAGCCGATACTTGGTTAGGTCCATTCAAAGCGTTACTTATGGGCTTCACCGATGATACCAAATTGAATGAATTTCGTTCAGCGATCAAGAAGAGTGTAAACAATTTCTTTGATTCCAGTTTTTGTCGTGATGAAGATCTATTTAATTGCATAATTGAAGCTTTTCCAACGCTATCGAAGCAACAATTTGAAACGGCAATTTGTTTCCTCTTCAGCCAATTTTCATTCACTCTTCTAGAGGAATGTTATCATAATTGTTTGGAGATATTTGAAACATTCTATTCTGATGAAGAAAAGAAAGTTTTACTTCAGAATGTTGATTTTCACCCTGTTGGGTTAATTGTTAACAAACCATTGGAAGGATTTCCATTTGAATCATTACCGAATGCAGTTTCCGCTAATCAACAGTTCTTCCGGATTCCTTCACTTCGTTTCCTCATTTCTCTGGTTGAAACTCACATGAAGAGAGATAAACTTTTCACCCAAGGTGTTAATCATCAAAAAGCCTATTATTTATTGAATCCAAGTGCTAACTTGATGAAAACGGAGAAACGATTTAGAGAAAAGTTTCTCAATCAAGTCAAGTGGAAAGGAGTCATTGGTGGAGCTCCTGATTGTAAAGATTTACAAAGTTCATTGAATTCTCGTGATTTATATATCTATTTTGGTCATGGTGCTGGTTCAAGATATTACAAAACTGTTCCTGATGGAATTGACTCTTTAAGTATAAGAACCGCTTCTCTAATTGTTGGCTGTTGTAGTGGTAAATTGTTCCTTGATGGTTCAATGTTTGACTCTTTTGGGACACCTTATCGTTTTATGATCAATGGATGTCCAACTTATCTTGGTCTTCTTTGGGATGTTACCGATGGTGATATTGATAGATTTGCTGATAGACTTTTAAGTTTATGGTTACCTGATTGGGAACAAACTGAAGCAAAGGAATCGAAAGATGATCAACCAATTAAATACAAAGAATTATGTAAATCACTAATTTATGCTCGATTTGCATGTCGATTCAAACTTTTAACTGGAGCTGCACCAGTAATTTATGGACTTCCCATAACAATTAGTTCACATTAATCGCAATTCCATCACATCGATTTAGGCAATTTAATGTTTTCTCAATTAATTGAAACAAAATTGTACAAAAAGATATTTTTTTCAATCTCGTCAATCCAATTCTTGGCTATTCCTCATTGTAATTTTCAATTTTAAGGCTTTTAAACCAATCGAAATGATTAACATGACAGAAAGGAAAAAGAAAACAATAGAAACCTCATTTTTGAACAAGAATCAAATTTAACTTTTAGAAATACTAACTGTTAGATTTGTTGATTGTTTCCATTTTTCATAGTCAATTCAATTATGTATAAATTTATTTGGAAAGAAAGCTAATCCTTGAATAGATTCATCTCTACAAGCGAAACCTTGATTTTCACAATTTAACAATCGCTGACGAGCAAGTGAAAGACTAATACCAAGGTGAAGAGCCAGTTGATTAGCCGTTAATCCGGGTTTCTTTAGATCAACACAATTTTCTTTGATGATTTTTAACGTCTCTTGGTTCATTAACTCTTGATTACAATTGTCAGCTTGGATAACCATTAAACCAGAATCATATTTAACTAGACTATAGCCCAACCTTTGGCTCTTGAGGGTGTAACAGGCATTGAGCAGATCCTCCGATGAAATCAGGTCAAGACCTCGAGATCGGTTGACCGCACAAAAGATGTCAGCTAAAGCCATGATCCCATCACTTTTATCAATCATTGGTTTAATCACTAAGGCCACTTGTTTACCAAGATCACGGAAATAGTGACTTTCATTTGCATACTTTTCCCGTGTAACCAAATCCTCCAAACCTTCATTAATACCTAAATTGAGGAGATATGATTTAAAGAGAACAGTTTCATCTTTGGAAATCTCTTTATTTCCTTTTTCTTTCAAGAGTTGAACCATTCCTTGAGCTAAACGAGCCATGTCACCGGCTTTCTCCATCAATTTATTTAAATCTTGAAAAGACTCCGAAATATTTTTATCAGTCTCTGTTTGCTGTTGTTTAATTTTTCTTTCTATCCCAGCGATTCCAATGTGAGACATGATTATCACTATTCACTTTCTAATATCACCTAATGGATAAAAAAAAAGGCTTAAAGAAAAAAGAATTCAAAAAATCGGTAATACTAGACAATAACAATTCAATTGTCAATATTTTGAGAAAAAGATTTTTTGTTTTGGTTAGTTGAACTTTCCACCGTCAATAGATGTCGCTATTTATGTTTACGATTGTTTTATGATCAAAGAGTAGAGTGAATTTCACCCAGTGAAAGAGAGAGATCGAAATGAAGGGAAAATGTGTGTTAGGTTAGGTTGATGGTGTAGGTTTACCGCACTTATAGTGGCTCCATTAAGGAGAGGATGCTCATGATCCTTTCTGATTTGGATCTAAAAAGTTTGATCCATTGATGTGTTTCAAAGAAATTCAATATTTCAGTATCAATCATCTCTTTCGTTATGAGATAATATTTTTTCGGTTTCCGTGGTAACAGAATGTATTCCTTGATTTCGTATGATTTGAGTAATTCTGTAAGTTTATCAGTTTGTTTCTTTTTGATTGTTTGTATCTGATATGTGTAGTATTTTGGTATGAATGATCCAAAAGTTATTCATCAATTTCACCACATCCATGAGTCTTTTTATAAATTGGATGAATCTAATATGCTTTTTCATTTATTTACCGAAGTTGTTCCTATTTATGACTCTGCTATTCGTGCGATACATTTGCATTAATACACTAAACCAGGTGGTTGTCTCAATTTTTTCGTTGTTTGTTGTTTTCTAATTGATTGATTAAACCAATCAATTTATTGTTGAAAATGAAGTAAAATACAATGATTAAGAAATGTAATCGGGTTAATTGTTACACATTCTAATGTATCCAATCAATTGAACGGTTTTAAGCAGCCTCGTAACAGAATGGCTATGATACATGTATTTTATCAATTCTGACAAATTGTTACTTGATTGTTATTTATGATTAAAGATTATTGAAATTGTACAATCAACTTAGTCTCAACTAAATTATCAACCTTAACTCGTTAAAAAAAGCTATCAATATATTGTGTTAATTGTTACAATTAGATCGAGTTAAACTATTAGTTTGATGATTTTCGAATTAATCCAGAACTCCTCGAATTTGAATATTTCATCCGTTTTAATCTGAAAACGAGAAGATATTGATTTAGTATGTAGAATTTTTCCTGATAATTATTCATAAAATGTTACTCACAAAAATATTGTCGCATCTTCAATGTCAACTAGAATTGAATCTTGTTCCATGTGAAGCTCATCTCGATCTTGTAGCATTTGAACCAATTCTTCATTGAGAACTAAACGACAGGAGATTAATAATCTATTAATCGATGGTCTAATAAATCTTTCATTAACTTACCTTCGATTCTTGAATGTAAATCATTTACAATAATCTGTAGTTTTGCAATGGACATTTCTTTCAGAATTTCACGACTGAAAACTCTATCAACGGGTAATTGGATCAATTTTGATATACGATTGGGCTTAAATTTGGTTCTTTCCGTTTCCATTTGCATCTGAGCCATTTCTTTTGCTTGGCTCAGCGCAAATTTGGCCTCGGCAATGATTAAATTGTGATAACGATGAAAATTGGACATGTCATTTGGCCGAGCAGTATTGAGAATATATCTGAATCGCTCCATCTTGTTTCGCCTTAGATTAACCATCAAATCCCTTGGTTTCTCTCTGTTTATCTTTAATCCTTCAATTTCATTACTCAGCCGATTCTCCGTTGAATCACCATTACATTGATCAGAATTATTATCGAGATGATTTGACTGTTTATTGAAACTCTGAGAGATACGATCGAAAGCATCCTGACGGATTCGCTGTAGGTCTCGTTTTTCCTAATGAAAATGGTCGAATAGAGAAAATTAAATCTCAATTGCAATCGAAATGATAGAATTTAAATCTAATTCAATCAATTGATTAATTTACCTCGAAATGGTCAGGGGTTTTATTGAAGAAACACATTCGAAGGTCACTTGTATTGGTAATCAATTTATTCAGATAGCCTTTCTTATGACCAACTGATGATTTCCATGATGATTTATTGATTGTCTCATCATCATTTTCCATTGCTAATCGTCTTCTAATCTCTTCCCTGTCTTGCATCTATTAGTATATAAGAATAATTAATCAATGAATAGAGAAACAAAAACCATGGGTAACCCTTAGCATGGGAAATTCAGTTCATTTATCAATCGGATTTCAATGAAGAACATGAAACATTATTATTGATTGATTGCGAAAAGAAATTAATTGATTAAACTTACCGAGATTGATCGAACCGCCAAATTACTGGTCATATCAGCTTTGGACATTTCAATTGAATACGAATAATTATCAGGAGAAAAAATTAATTAAATCATGAGAGAAATAAAAGAAATCAAATCAATCAACTGTCGAATCGTAAGAATTGAATTTTTTCTCGAAACTGAAAGTTTCCAATTGTCACCAAATAGATTACATTGAGATTTGATTCGTGATTATTTAGAATTGTAATCAGAGGAAATTGATTGTTTATCTCTAATTATTTGTTATTTGGTGTCACTTTGGATAACAATCAAAACATGATTAAATTGTAATGGAAATGGAGTCGACTCCAATCAGAATTGATCATGAACTTGAGATTCGTCTCAATAGGTTGAGGGTTAAGTTGATCAAGTTAACAATAATTATGATGAACAATTTGTTAATTAGAAAGACAGATTTTTCTAATCACCGAGATTCAACCATTAGATCTGAGAGGGTTTGACTTACCAACCAATTTAAATTAATTGTCAATCAAAACAGTCAAACTCATTTTAATTGTTCTTAATGATTGTAATTGTTTCTTGTTGGAGGATTTTATTAATTATCTTATTTTAACTGGGATTTTATATTCATCTGAATGAAATGTTATCTGTTATCAACTTGAATTACTTTTGATAATCTCAATATGGGTTAACTATACAGTTATTTAATCAACTATTCAGAGGATGAAGGTTTCTATCATCAATGTCATTATTTAATTTGATTGTTGTAAGTTACGCATTGATTGACATTTGCTGTAATTATCTCAATTATAATGAGAGTGATTTATTTGAATTACAATATTATAATAGTTTATTGAATTACAAGTCGAAAGAAACTTGAAAATTTTGTTTTCGACAAAGAGGAGAATCGGAAATAACATTTATCTCTGGGAAGATTTTGTTATGAAAAAAACTCACCTAGAAATAGATGATCATCATCATCATGACAATGATGGTAAAATCAATAAAATTGTGTCTTAAATTCGTTACCATGGAAACAAATGCTGAACAATAATCAGAGCGATCGAAATAGAGCTCACAGTTAGGTTCTTTTCTGTATTCGAGTTTGCTCAAAATAGAGATGAGAATTTCTTCTCATCTTCTCTGATTACTTTTTCTCTTGTTTATCTCTCTCTCTCTCTCTCTCTCTCTCTCTTTCTTTCTTTCTTTCTTTCTTTCTTTTCTTGGTCTTCTTCATCATCTCTCTGTCTCCTCATCTTCATGCATCTTACTTGAAATGTTATTATTGTTTGGGATCATTGGATTAAAGGTAATTACTCATCTAATCAATTCACTTCAAGGGTTTTTATATTGAACATCATTCTATTTGTTTAATTATAATAATTAAATCTAACTGTATTTTAATCATCGTGACAACAATCAGCCATTATGTTCACCTTACAGACATAATAACAATCAAAACTAATTTTTTTTACATTCCAATCATTAAAAGTATTCATATCAACAATCCTTAAATTATTGTTATATTTTGGATCAAATGTTAACCAATGAAAGCTAATTAAAATCTCATTCCAACAATCAACTAATCAATATGTGTAATAATAATGATGAATCAAGTTATTCAAAGCGAAAGGCTTTGGAGTTAATTACTAATATCTTCAGGTAAGAATTTAAATTTCGTATCAAATTTCACTTTCAATGGTCACCTTTAATCATTCAAGTTAATTGTTTCAATCAAATTATATTTACATTGTATATCGTTTAAATTATACAGCTAATTAATTGCTAATTGTCACAAAATAAAAGTTTAGATCCATGAGTGTGTCATTATCACCTAATTTCAATCAAATTTACATCAAGGTTATTATCATGTGGCTAATTAAATAATTCATGAGAACGATTTAATCACTCAAATTAAATTTTTCATCAAACATCAGCTCGACACTAATTAAACCAAAACTGGGTTAGATTAATTTACACTTAATAATAATCAACAATAATTGTAGTAAATTGTCTTAATATTAATTATCATAAGTAAAAAATCATTAAATGTTAACACTATTTAGATGATTAAATTGTTTCTGATTATGTTAATTCTTAACTGAAGATAAAAATATGAACCAGATTAATGATTTATGTGAACAATTTCCATGCATTCAATTGGCTTCACAATTAATCTAATTAGCAACAGTTTCTATTATTAACAATAATTAATCCGACAATTGTGATTACTTGACTGTTAATCTTTTTCCTTCCAATAAGAAAGATGATCAGCTAATCGATTGCTAATCAATGTAGATCAAATTGATGAACATTTTTAACTTAATCGTTGGACTTATTCGTAAACGATAACGAAAAGTTTATTAAAACGTCGTAACGAAAACTCGAGTCTCGAAATATGTTCAAAACTTGAGGTAAAAGACTGAGAGACAAGATTCATCAACGATTAGTTTTAATGATTATTTTCATGGAAATCAAAATAATCTAAAACCTCTAATTATCAAGTTGATTCGATAATCTAATAAAATTGAATATCATCGATCATTAATTTGAAAATCGCAATTTAATCACAGTATGAATGTATTATGAATTTGTGATTTATCGTTTCAGGAAAAAATCAAAGGAAAGGTTAAAGAGCTGGAATGAAAGTGAAAACTATCCACCAGTTTTATCAGTTGATTCTAATCACGATGATGAAGTGATTAGTATAATTGCTCCGGCTGAACCTCGACCATCAACATCCCTCCAACATTCAACTGATCACCTATCAGAGTTTGGGATTCCACCTCATTCTCCAGTTTCCCCGAGGGTAAAAAACATAAATGAAGACATGGAAGCGTTGACATTATCTCGCCAGGACAATCCTTTTATTGTTTCCAAATTGGAGAAATTATCTTCATCCGAAGAATGGTTATCATCAAATTCATCGAGTTTAACAATTCAACAAGAACTATTATCACCATCATCGTGTTCATCGTCAACATTTAACATGGAAATTGAAGAGATAACTTCAGATGTATCCAATGTTCACGAGCATTTAATTCGTTCACCTCCTCCCCAATTCCCAACCAAATTGGCCCACTTTGTGTTCCCCCTCCCGAACAGCCCAATTAAGAATCTATCGTCACGTTATGGTTCATTTCTGAGCCCCGATCGTCATTTGAAAATTGTTTGAGAAAATAATTTTATTATTATAATATATTAATAATATAAACCATTGAAAATTATTCCAATCATAACAAATAATCTGATTCATTAAAACTTCTTCATATCAACACAATAAATTTAAATCCTTTGGGAAATGTTAATGTAACAACTTAATTGTTTTGAATCTTGAATTGTGATTTACTCGGATCATTGGAAACAATTAGAAAGATATTAAAACCAAAAAAGTCCAAAAGTAAAGTTGATAATTTAGTTGAGACTAAGTTGATTGTACAATTTCAATAATCTTTAATCATCAATAACAATCAAGTGAAAATTTGTCAGAATTGATAAAATATTATATCTATTCTGTTACGAGGCTGATTAAAACCGTTCAATTGATTGGATACATTAGAATGTGTAACAATTAACCCGATTACATTTCTTAATCATTGTATTTTACTTCATTTTCAACAATAAATTGATTGGTTTAATCAATCAATTAGAAGTCAAAAAACAACGAAAATCTCAAGTACTAATCATCTCTCTTATAAGACAATTTGATTTAATCTAATCATAAATTTTAGTTGATCTTGATGGGAATGAGCCAAAAACAAAAATCATTTGCATAGAATAATCAATTTTGAGCAATTTAATCAGCACAATTAGGAACCCGGAACTAATCAGGAATCAGACATCAGACATAATGTCAAACAGTTAATCTGTTATTATAAATGACACAGAACTTGAAGCTGATCCATTTGGATCAAGATAATAATTAATTTACTATCTTTGCACAATCGCAGCACTTGAATTGATCATTAACGATGATTAAGATAATCTCAGAGTAGAAACGTTTATTGCAATTGATTTCAATTGCAAGACGATTTTCCATCAGCACAACAATTAAAGTAACAATGTCATCCTCTGATTTAGTTAAAAGACAATCCGAAAGCCCATGGTAAGTGATAACTAATTGTTTTATTAAGTTAACTGTAAAATTAATATAAATGTCACCTCTAATTGAACAAAGGGTTGAATATGGTGAACTTGGGACTAAATATAATTCAGTTAATCTGTGCAAAGGTTTTCCTGATTTTCCTCCTCCCGATCATGTAGTTGAAGCCTTAATCACTGCGGCAAGGAATCAATCATCTCACCAATACACTCGTCAATATGTAAGTTGATTAGTTTTCCCATGAATCTCCTAATTAGAGCAATTTATTTAATAGGGTCATCCAAGACTGGTCAACATATTATCTAAAATGTATAGCCAATTAATTGGAAGACCAGTTGATCCATTGAAAGAGATTTTAATTACCGTTGGTGCTTATGAAGCTCTTTTGTCAATATTTCTTGGTTTAATCAATCCTGGTGATGAAGTGATTATCGTTGAGCCTTTTTATGATTGTTATCCGCCGATGATTGAAATGGCTGGTGGAATACCTGTTTATATCTCTCTTAATCCACCAGAAGATTCAAATCAACGAACAGTTTCAAGTTCTGAATGGAAATTGGATTACAATCAATTAGCTTCTAAGTTTAATGAACGAACCAAGATGATCGTAGTTACTACACCAAATAACCCAACAGGCAAAGTAAGAATTAAACAATTATTGTTGATTCGATTTTGAATTCGAATTTTAATTGATGTATATTAGGTTTACTCGAAGGAAGAATTACTTGCAATCGGTAAATTGTGTCGGCAATATGGTTCTATTGCTGTAATGGACGAAGTCTATGAATGGGTTATTTATGATGATCTGAGTCACATTAGAATGGGTAATCGTTAACATCTAAACTACGAGTTTATCCTTTTATCCAATTTGATATTAATTTAAATTGTTACGATTTTCACAGCGAGTCTACCAGAGATGTGGCCTTACACCTTGACTGTTGGCAGTATTGGTAAAACATTCAGTGTTACTGGTTGGAAAATTGGATGGGTTTATGGTCCGAAAAAGTTAATTAATCCATTACAGATAATCCATTCGAATACGGTCCATACCTGTGCAACACCCATACAAGAAGCTTCAGCAATTGCATTGGAAATTGAATTTAACCGAATTGGTAAACCAGATTCTTATTGGAAACAATCAGCTATCGAGCTACAAGCTAAAAGAGATCTGATTATTAAGTATCTTCAAACATCGGGTGTTAATCCCACTATTCCTCAGGGTGGATTCTTTATTGTAGCTGATTATCGTAACATTAATTGGCCATCTAACGATACAATTTACAGTGAAAAAAGTCCAGGAGATAAATTTGCTAAATGGCTTTGCATTGAAAAGGTAATTAATTAATTGACCCATTGGAAGATTACTTTTGAGAAATATCTTAATCCGGTTGTTTTTGTCTAATCCAAATATTTTTTTTCGTTTGCAGAAATTATTGACGATGCCAGTGTCTTATTTTTATTCGAGTTCTAATCGAGACAAAGGCAAAAATTCAATTCGATTCTGTTTTTTCAAAAAAGATTCAACGATTCACGATGCTGGTAGAATATTGAATAAGCTCCAAGTTAAAGTAAAGTCAAATCTTTAGTTCGATTGGTACAGCTCAATAACTCATTCATCGACTCACCTTTGAACCTAGAAATCGATATGATTGTCATCAATTTCTGGTATAATGTCCTTTGTAAATGATGTATAAAGAGCCATTGTCACAAATAAGGACACTTCTTATTTTACTTTATTGTGGCGTAACAGTAATAAAATATTAAAAAAGTTTTTTCCATTGAAAACTGTATTCGAAATGTTTGAAAAGTTGTCCTGGTTGTCTCACGAAAAACTATTTTTAGTCGGTGAAATCTAAGATACCACCGATTGTCCTGGCCGCAGGTCTATCAAGTTGAGGTCCACTTGTCCACTGTTTGGTGACCAGATCAAAAATCTCTGTGGTTCTCAAACTTTCCCCACCTCTCGATCCACCAATTACCCAAACTTTAGATTGATGTTGAACTACAAGTGGACTAACCCTTTCACAGCTCATCGAGGGCATGAAATCACTTTTATCCTTGATTGGGTCATAAACTTCAACAGTTTTCAAACAAGTCGATCCATCGGTACCTCCAAAAATGTATATTAGATCATTAATCACAGTAGAACCAAAACAACGACGAGGACAATTCAAATTACCAACAAGAGTCCAAGTTCCGTTATCTGGATTTAACATCTCAACATCTCCAATAACTTGAGAATATTCCTGATGAGCTCCACCCAATACATATATACGATTCTTAATTGTGACCGCATTGTGATCACATCTCGATAGCTCCATTGAACTTGACACGATCCATTTATTTTGAACGGGATCATAAATTTCAACTGAACTCGAGGTTGTTTGTTTAGTCGTTGATCCTCCGAGCACAAATATCCTTCCTTTATAAACACACGCTGATGTCGCATACCTGCTAATATGCATTGGTTGACATCTAGACAATTCCTTGGTCCTTGGATTAAAAACTTCAACAGTATTGGTTATCCGAGACATTTCAAATCCACCAATTAGATACAATTGTCCATGTAAAGTTACATGAGCATTCATATCTCGGTGGCTGGTTAATTTAAACGATTCCCATTCATCTGAGTTTGGGTTGAGTGTTTCCATGAATCCATTATTATCGAGAATATAAATAGTCTTCTGAATGATTTTTCCATCAACTGAATTTTCATCATGAAGCAATTTTTTTACCATTAAATCATCTCGTTGATCAGGTAACATTTGGAAAATGAGAGCATCCAAAACAAAGTCAACAGATTCTTTCGAGTCAAATAACGTTCGATATTCATGAACTTTTGCCATTAGTATTTCAGGTCTCATGAAACTAATTGATATCTTATTGAGTAAAGATGTAAATTGAACTTTTCTTGATTCCAGATCGTAATTAACCCATCGTAAGATCACTTGAAATAATATCGATTGTCTCCTTATATCCGATGAAATCATTTCAATAAAATCACATAGAGAAATGTAAGGTAATTGAAGAAAAGGTAAAGTTTGAGAGACACTAATTAGATTTGATATAATAAACTGATCGGAATCTTTAATCAATTCATCACAATTAACCATTTCTCCCAAATATTTGGATCTAACCACAGTTTCGATATCTAAATGTCTCCTTAGATAATCACAGCAAATGATAACCAGACTTTCGATGCCCAAAAAATTAGCGGCAATCAGGATAAGATCAGCGTTCTTTGGGTCAATAATTATCTCCTGAGAGTAAACATAACTAATTATCAGCTGGAAAATATCTGGTTCAATGTCTTCCGATTTAATTGTGACAATATCAGAGCAAGAATCATCTAAATTAGAGTTGAACATGGCTGAAAAAAAGGGTATTGTTGCTGCGAGGATACAACGATGAGCCTCAATGGATTGATCACCGATTCTAATTGTTACATCGGTATGAGATTTACTAGTTAACAGTTCAGATAACAAATTATCACACCAATTGTTGTGGTAAACTAATTTACCTGAAAGGTGATCAGACATAATAAAAGTAACAAATATCAAATATAAATTGGTCTCAATAAGATATAAGTAGAAACTGAATCTTGTTGAAAGTGTAAACACCAAAATCTAATCAATGATTAAGCACAAATTTCCTTGGTAACATTTAATTTCCTATTGTTTATCATCATTATCATCATCATTTGTCTTCCTTCATGATAAATTTGTTTATATTCAATTTATCAGATGATTAGCAGAATCGTTGAGAGTTTAATCAAACAATTAATCAAAGCTTTCCAGAGATAAACAATTAAGTAACTTTTATTATGAATGAGAAACCATTTTTCTTACTCTAAGTTTTGTTTAGATTTTCAAAGTTAATTGTCTTGTTAATTTTGTTCATATTTCTAATACTTGATAATCAGAACCATCTCTTAATTGTGGTTATTTCAATCGATGAGAAGTGAATTGATTTAGACGATATTGTCTAATTGAGGAATCATTTTTTCCCTCGTAATTGATTGTTGACATCATGGAGACAATTGGTCTTGATTGAGTTAAATGACCATGAAATTGTTTTTTATCACCAAAATGATTAAGATAAATTGTGTGTATATGATTAATTAGAGATTGAATTTTCTTACAGATCATGATTGTGGTAAAAAGTAATGAGATTCCCGTCCAAAGATAAATGATCCCACCAAGGAAACACAATTGATCAACTAGTTTGACTTTCGGCTTTAATTTAACCTCAATTTTGGGACTTGTCGGGAAAGCAACGGCTAAACTAAACTGATCTGGTCTAATTATCTCAGATTTAAATTTACTCGTTAAAACAGCGCGATAATAGTAATCGTTACATGGAGCATGGAAATAGATATTTCGACATGAATTGTGCTCCTTTAGCTCGGCTCGATTGGTGAAATGTCCATCCATGAACCTCGAATTTAACTTGACGTAAGTCTGAGTGAACCAGGACTTATAATTATCGTAGAGTTTATTGTTGATACAATTTCGAATGCAAGTTCGCCGATGTTTACAGTCTAACGTTGTATATTGAAAACATCGAGATGAATAAGGTGCTTGTAACCCACGAATTGCCGTTCGTTTGAACGTAACAACGGCCTGATTGAAATCGGTTGTGTTAAACTGTAAGAAACTTGGATTAGCAAGGGAATCCTCTAATTCAGCATAAGTATGAGTGATAAAAATACCAATATGATTAGTGTTAATCACCGAGTTATTAAATGTAATATCAACCAAATATTTACCGACAACTAGATTATCACTATACCAAATTTGTTGAGGTAAAGATTCAAAGAACGAATAACATTTCTGATGAATACTCAAGTATTCAACGATATGGTTATAATAAACGAGACAAGGTTCCATTTGGTAACTTGTTGCATTTAAAACTTGACAATCAATTATCCATTCGTTGATTGTTGGTAATTTAGAGTCTATTTGATTCAATGATAGGGGATAATGAATGATTCCATCATGGTAGGAATAGTTTCTTAGCTCTGGTATTCGGTAAAAAAAGCACAACGATATTGAAGGTAGTTCCGCTTCTCGAGGTCTTTCAATGTGAATCGTTGATATCGTTGGATATTTGAAATAATTAATAACAATTAAAACTCCTTGAACAATTGCTCCAGCAAAGCTTAATGTAAATGCACAGTATTGGTAAAAAGTTAATGAACTTAACTCGTAGTTGTTAATTGTTTTCATCATGATTCGAGAATCAATTTGTAAAAGGAACGAGATTACAATTCAATGTTCATTGAAATGTCACTTAATCAACTGATTTTGATTGTGAATCAGCTAATCATTTTTAATATCGTTCGGAGCTCTGGGAATCAACTTGATTGTTCCTGGAACTGTTCAGATTCATAATTACTTTAATCTTGTTTTTTTATTATTGAATTATCAATAATTTTCTTGCTAATTGTCAACTTAAATATCCATTTTTTTCGGTGAGAAAATTTTTTCGATACAATTCAATACGATCCAATGTTTTTTCTTTTCAGATACTACAATTACTTTCGCAATTAAAATTGCTGTTTTCTCATTAACAAAGATTTACGTCAATCTCTTGATAATTAAATTTTTCTCATGAATTAGTCTCAAATAATTGAGTTATAAACGAGAGAAATAAATTAGTTTATTTAAATTGTCTCGAAACTTTTGGTTTTCACTCAATTTTCCAATAACATTGAAATGAAATTAACAATTTTCTCAGGTTTAAACATCATTGATTAACTATTAATAGCTTGTGATTGACAGAAAATGTGAATTGTCTTAATATTTAATTTAATTTTCTATTTTTGCTTCTATCAACTAAACTGACTTAATTTAAATCAGTTGACAATTTTTTTCAAACTCAATTTATTTCTAATCGTCATGAACATCATATACTTGAATTTCACGATGAACAAACAAATCTAAGGTCATTATCATCAGCGATATTCCCGTTTAATGAAACAATTGAAAGAAAGAGAATAAGTTAATTCTAAATATCCAATCGATCGTCAAAATGTAATTATCTTAATTGCTGACAAATAATCTTATTGGTAATTGGGTTTAAAATTTACTCACTCAAATTTTATTAGGTCCATTTTGTTTCAATCCATGATTCCATTTCCATCAAAGGGGTGCCACAGGATAGATAGTCTTTGATGATAACCAATTTACATTTAAAAACCTCCACCTTAATTTGATTAATTCACTTTTAATTAATAAAATTGAAGAGCTCAATTAATTGTTTTGTCGGATTAAATTTTCTTCCACCAACAGATGGCGCCACTTATGTTCCATGTGCTCTCACATGTTTGTTAATGTGCTTTAAATTAAATTGTGTTTACGGTTTTGTTTTATTAACTTTGTCTGCTAAATTGTTTAAGTTTGTCTGTTTAATTGTTTTAATTTATTGACTTTCATCATGGGTCGTAAGGCTAAGTATGATGAGAAAAGAAGGATTAAGAAAAAACCCCGAGAACAAAAGAGACAAGGAGCTCCTGAGCTTCCGTTTGAGGTTCCACATGATCCGAGGCCTGTTGCTAAAAAGTAAGTATTGGATTTGATTTTCTCTGTTGATTATTGAATAATTCACTGAATCTTATTCTCGAATAATTTCTTTAGACTCCAAGATCAACTAGACATTGTAAAGGCGAAAATAAAAGCTAAACAAGCGGCCAAGAAAAAGTTGAAAATGAAATTAGAACCAGAGATTGATGTTGATAAAGAGTAAGTTTTAATTTCGCACAGAAAAAAGATTTTTCCATTTTAATTATTCCATTGCTTTTCTTAATGTTCTTTCAGGCTTGAAGATGATGAGCAGCAAGCTATCAAGCCTAAGCCTTCAATTAAAGAGAAAAAGATTAAGATGACAAGGAAAATGAAAAGTAAGTCCAAGTTGTTACTCATATACTAGGGTTCGTGTTTTATTTGGTGTTAATTGTGATTTCTTTTATTGATAGAGATGCGAATCAATGAACGACGGTTAGAGAAGCAATCTGAATTGAAGTCTGGTGGTCAAAATGAAGAGAAGGAGCAAGTGGAAGAATTAGAAGCCGAGGAAGAAGAGGAAAAAGAAGAAGAAGCACCACAACCACCGCCACAAACAAAGAAGAATAAAGGAAAAGATAAATTGGAGAAAAAATCAAAGAAAATGAAAAAAATGGCGACTTTCCAAGCAAATGATGAGCAACACGAAGATGACGAAGTCCAGGACATGGCTTCCGATGAAGAAAAGGACCAAAAAGACAACTCTCATACCACCAAACCCGAGGACGATGAATTTGATGATGAAGATGATGAGGTAACAAATAATATGGAGTAAATAATTTCTTCTAGAGAATTTACTCAATTCTTTTTCTTTATAGTTCCCCCAGTCTCAGAATGGAATGCAATCGATAAGCCAAGAGCCGATGGGAATGTACGACGATGGCTATGGATTATTTCAACTTCCTTCCAAAGAAGAGATTGAACAAATGGATCAAACTATGGGCTATCAGACAACCTCATTGAAAGAGAGAATCGGAGAGATTAATTTTATATTAGCCAATTTCAATGAGAGAAGACAAGCAGGAAAGCAAAGAAAAGAATACTTAGCCGTTCTCAAGCACGATCTTTGTGCTCTTTATGATTATAACGAATTTTTAATGGAAAAATTCATGGAATTATTCAAACCAACTGAACTTCTTCAATTCATTGAATCTTCCGAAGCCCAGAGACCTGTGACCATCCGAACGAACACTCTGAAAACCCGTAGAAAAGATTTAGCCCAAGCCCTAATCAATCGTGGGGTAAATTTGGATCCTATCGGTGAATGGTCAAGAGTTGGTTTGGTCATCTATGATTCTCAGGTTCCTATCGGAGCTACTCCTGAATATCTAGCTGGACATTACATGTTACAAGGAGCCGCTTCGTTATTACCCGTCATGGCTTTAGCTCCCAAAGAGAATGAGAAAATATTAGATATGTGCTCAGCTCCCGGAGGTAAAACGACCCATATCGCAGCGATCATGAAAAATACTGGAACACTGTTTGCCAATGATTCTAATAAAGATCGTGCCAAAGCAACTAAGGGTAATATTCATCGATTAGGAATCAATAATTGTATACTTAGTGCTGTTGATGGACGCAAATTTCCTCCCATCATGAAAGGTTTTGATAGGGTTTTGTTAGATGCACCTTGTAGTGGAACTGGAGTTATATCAAAAGATAATGCTGTAAAGAGTATGAAGGTAAATAGATTTTGATTTAGTTATTCTTTGATCATCTTTCTTCAATTGACTTACTAATTATTTATTTTCATTCTAGGATTCAAATGATGTTCAAAGATGTTGTACTTTACAGAAGCAACTTATTCTCGCAGCGATTGATTGTTTAGATGCCAATTCTCAGAGTGGTGGATATTTAGTTTATTCAACTTGTTCTGTATTGGTGAGTTTTCATTATTCTAATTATTTTTGAACTTTTCTAATTTTGTTTTGATTGTTTTTTGCTCCTTCTCATAGGTTGAAGAAAATGAATGGGTAGTTGATTATGCTATTAGAAAACGTAACGTGAAATTATGTCCAACTGGAATTAATTTTGGTCGCGAGGGTTTCACAAGGTAATTAAAAGATTTCCAAATTTGGACTGAAATAATATTAATTGTTGTATTAATCTTATTATTATCTATTGTAATTCTAATAGGTTCAGACATAGGAGATTTCATCCATCACTTTCATTGACAAGACGATTTTATCCTCATGCACATAATACTGATGGTTTTTTCGTGGCGAAATTGAAAAAGTTTTCAAATTCCATTCCAATTCAGCAGACTAAAGAAAAACAGGAGAAAAAGAATAAGAATAAAAACAAAGATGGCGAAGACCAAGATGAAGAAGATTCAGATGATGATGATGATGATGATGATGATGATGAAGATGAAGATGAAGATGAAGATGAAAATGAAAATGAAAACGAAGATGAAGATGAAGATGAGAATGAGAATGGGGATGAGGATGAGGATGAGGATGATGATGGAGATGGAGATTGAGACGATGATATTGATTAACATATTTTGTAAAATCTTTTCAATTCATGTTTAAAATAAAGGAAAAATTTATTGACTTCATTTTGTTTTCCATTGGAAGTTCATTAACTTGCTTTGAAAATTGAGAAAAGTTTTTCTCGGAAATAAAAATTAAAAAGATGAAAAAAATTCGGTGGTTAGTTTGTTTTCTAATCGTTAGATGGCCTTGGTTTTCTTTACACATGTTCGGTTGTTTTGATTTTTTCTTTGATTTTGTTTTGTTTTTGTTTTGCGAATTTTTATTATTCCATCATTTTGATCTCTTCTTTTTTGTTCCATCATGAATCGTCATAAGTGGAAGAAAAAGTTTAATTCTATAGACCCTAATTCGGATGAGCCCTTGGAAATTTCATCCAAAGGACGACCTGAGCCATTGATGGTCTTCCAACCACAGGTAAGCTCATTTTCGTATGGAAATTTTTGTTGACTTTTGATTTTCATCTTTTTTTTGTTTCTTTATTTTTTAAGAGTAAAATACTTCGAGATCCAAGATTTGAAGAATCAAGTGGAGATTTCAATAAGTTCATATTTCGAGATCGTTTTGGTCCATTGATTAAAGAATCGATGGTAGAAGATTTGAAAGAATTGAAGAAGATTGAAAAGAAAGAAAAAGATCCTGAACAAAGTGAAAAAATAAAATCTCTGATTCAAAGGACCAAAAATAAGATAAAAACATCCGAATCCCAAGAAAAGGAGAGACAATTAATCCAGAAATTAAGATCAGAGAAAAGAAAAGAAATTAACAAATCGGGACCAGTTTATGTGACCAAAGGTAAATTATTTTCTCCATCATTGATCCTAACATGAAATCGATTTGGAAAATCATTCAACTTATTTCTAATTTTTTCTTCTTCAATTCTATTCAATGTAGCTGCAATTACAAAGGCTCAATTGGTAGAGAAATTCAAGAAATTAAAACAATCGGGAAAACTATCCAAATATATTGAAAAGAAAAGGAAAAAGAATCTTGGTCGAGATCGAAAAAAATTAAACCGAAAATGAATGGAAAATAGGAATCGAAATCAATGTGACACCCAAAGTGATTTAGAAGTTGATTAAAACCAGTGTTATTTATAAATATAAACCGTTATACATTAATGTCGCAATTGTTTAATATTGGTAATAATTAGCACACATATTGAATTTTGAAATTGCTCAAGTTTCCTTTAGATTTCTGTGTATTATTAGTTGCTTATTTTTCATTGATTTTGTGTTGACCTTAAAATCGTTTTTCGTTTTTTTTAAATTACACTTGGACCTACAACGCAACTTGATCAATTTAATCGCATTCTATTTAAATCGTTAATACAATCGGTTGTTGTTGTCGTCGTCGTTGTTGTTGTTGTTATTGTAGTTGAATTATTGGCACCATTACGTTTTGTATCGGAAGAATCACTTTTATAACCATAATCATTTGATTCGTTGTTCCCTAATTCCTCCGTTAAAGGCGATTTAACTTCTTTCGATGAGGTTGGCACATAACCAGTTCGATTAAAATTGTAACTTGGATTAGATGAAGATCGTCGATGAGAATCCCAACGAATATCATCAGATTCATGAGTTAACCATCTTTGTCCAATTCGTTTCTCTAAATCCTTTAAATCGCAATAAGTTTGATAATCCTAAAGAAAACGAAAGAAAACAATTAAAATGACAATCCTAATAAACCACAATTAACTGATTGACAGTAAAGAAAAACTCACTTGTAACCAAACATGAGACAGAGATTTGTCAACAGTATAACGTTTCCTCGTTTTAACTTGAAGTAAATTGGTAATTAAATCAATCGCATCAGCTGAAATATCTTTCCAAGGATCTTTAGGATACATGAAAGCAGCATTTTGAATTTGATCGTTAATATCTTCCTCTTCGTTGAAAGGGAAAGTCCCGCTAAGACTAACGTACACGATGACCCCAACTGACCACATATCGAGTGACCTATTGTAACCTTTATTACGAATAACCTCTGGTGCAAGATAAGCCGGTGTACCAACAACTGATCGTCGGAATGATTTTTCCCCGATAATCCGAGCGAAACCAAAGTCACACAACTTAACCTGTTGAGAGAATTAATTTAAAACCAAAGAAAAGGAGAACAAACAATTAGTAGATTGTCATAATTAACCAACAACAACGACAACGATGATGAAATTATAAGTAATCACATTGAATTAAATTCATTCGATTCTTTTTCTTTTTGATTCTATCAACCATTTCAGTTGAGTGAACTGTTCAGTTTATTAATTAGCGTGACTCTTGTGATTCATGGCTCGTAGGTAAAGCGTGACAGAATCACAATCTATGAGAATTACTCATTATTATTGTTCATTCAGTGATTTTTTTTTCCTTGTTGATGTTTACTACAAATCATTAGTAAAGATCATCTTCCTTTTTGTCATCTTCATCATCGTTGTGATGATGAAAAGAAAATTCTTACTTGAGGATAATCAGCATCGGACGAGAGAAGAACATTTTCTGGCTTAAGATCACAATGGACAATATTCTGTGAGTGAAGATGCTTAAGTGCCATTAGAATCTGTAAATTGGAAAGAAGATGACAAATTAATTAAGGAAAAGAAAATAATTACATTGAAAGGGAATAAATGAGAGAACGAGAGAGAGAGAGAGAGAGAGAGAGAGAGAGAGAGGATTAAGATGAGAGAAGATGATGGAGAAGATAGAAAATAAACTCAAGTGGATAACAGTTAATTCTTTGGATAAACAATTAGAGGTCATTAGCACATCGTAATTAAGGGATAGAATTTGTTCTGGTTAGTTGAATGGATTTTCTCTTATTCTTTTATTCAATTTTTCTCAACCGATAATTGTTATATAATAAATAGTCGTTCTCTTACTTGATAGATCAGAAATTTGGTTACACGCTCATCAAGTCGCTTCTTCTCGGTGTGGAGAATCATGTCAAGCATATCGCCTTTCAGTTTTTCCATGACAACGTAAATTCTGTCCTTTGTTTCAAACATTTTCTCCAACGTTACTACGCCCGGATGATGTAAGGCCTCCAGAATTGATACCTCATTCTTTAATTGAGCCTCTTGTTTAGTTGGAAAACGTGATTTATCAATTACTTTGATTGCAACCGCTCTACGGGTTATCCTGTGAACACCACCATAGACAATACCAAATTGGCCTGAACCAAGAACTTCATCGGGAAATATTTGATACTGTAAACTAATATCATTATCGGTTTGAACTCGATTTTCGCCAATCGATAAGTTACTCCGGTTATTGGCTTCAACCTCTTTGATTGAAGAGGTGATCGCTTTACCATCGGCTACCGGCATTAACGCTTGTCTGATCGCCGCTTCCCAAGTAGCAGCGGTGTTTGGCTCACCGCAATAATAGTTCAAGTGAGTTGTTCGCATTTCAAAACCACAATCTCCATTTTTGGAAGAAAATATTGACAAAATATCGGAAAGAATTATTTCTCGATGATAATTAGATGAAGTCTCATTATGATACATGGTAATTGCTTTAGTATCCAATCTCCAAAAGTGTCGCTTTCTCTGTAAACAATAGAGACAGAAAAAAAAAGTTAAATCAGTTAGAATAGAAGGAGAAAACAATTGTAACATGATAATCTCTTCATGATATGAATCTGAAATATCTCGATGAGAATTGATTCTAATTACCCCTGGATCTTTACTAGTAAAATGGACCATCCATCCTTCCTTTAACACCTCGGATCCTCTTCTCTTATTATGTTTAACACTTTGGACAATTCTCATCAATGGGATATTATTACTTTCAGTTGATCTGTTAACAAATGAAGAAAAATGATTCAGATGAAATTTAGAATAAAAATAATCTAAAAAAGATGACATGAAACAGGAAGAAACACCGAAAAGATGATCAAGATTCTGATGGTGATGATTAATTGACTCGAGACTTTTAATAAAAAATAAAAAGCGTAAAGGTAAAAAAAAAATATTAATGAATATGAGATAAATAAGGAAGGATAAAATTATGGGTTAATTGATTGTTGATAGTTAAACATGATCAGAATCATGATATATACAAAATAAAGGAGATAAGTAATGACGACAGAGAGAAAAAATTTACAAAAAAGATTCTGTAAATCAATGAACATGGTAAATAATAACAATCATATTAACACAACAACTAATCATCATCATGTTAAATTAATGATAATCGATTAATAATATTATCTTTCATTATTTGTCTACGAGGTTGATTGTTGTTAAATGTGTATTACAATTGATATTGTGTGTGTGTGATTAACAATAACAAAATAATTTACGAATTGAAGTAAATTACTTTGCATCAAATGCTCTTACATCTTTTCACTCATCATAAATAATATCAAGATGATGATGATGATGATGAGAGTGAGAGGGAAGATGATGATTAGAGTGATCGACAGGGCGAGACTCTCAATAAGTGTTTGTAATCTGATTTTTTTTTCTACTTTTTTTCTTTCATGTAGTTTTATCATCTTATTCTTACCATGGTGATATTAATGATGATCCACGATCATCAACTTCAAATAGTTTGAATGAATATCAACAATTCCTCACACACAACATAAACGGGAGTCAAAAAAGGTATCAGAGAGAGAGAGAGAGAGAGAGAGAATCATTGTTATTTATATTATCGTCTGAGATGTTGATGGTTATTATGATTATGATATTGATAGGCAAGTCTATTGAGATGAATTTAATCAATTGAATCTATTTCATGAGGCAAAATAAACATAATCATGTTTACACATTCAGATTAAAGGCAACAATAAGACGGATAGAGAGATGATGATGATGATGATGACCCAACATGTAAATATCCGAAAGATAATATCAAGATATAAAAGTGAATACAAATCGGAACATTTGATCAGAAAAAAAAGTTAAATGAGAAAAACTATTTTCAGAATAATAATATCATGAATATCAATATGAATGTTACCCTAACTTTTATTAGAATCAAATGTTGATGGTAAAAAAATTCAATTTTCATCAGAAATGACAACAAGTAGCAATGGAAATATAATAATGACAAGAAAATGAATGAAAGAAAAAAAAATTCTGACAGTTAACAGAAAAAAAAACGATTTAATCTGATATCGGATATTCATTTATGTTGAAATTGTCACAGAGTTACTACTTATTATTATTATTATAGTTGATTATTGTTGACAATTATCATGGAAATGGATTTATATGTGATGAAAATTGTTCAGTAAAGTTGGAAAATAATCTTGAGTACAACTAGATGATGATAATATTCATGGAACAAGCTGAATGTAAATGAATATCACCCAAAAGAATCAAGAATAACCATGCAAGAGGTAAAATATCAAATTCACCCAAAATGATATATAATCAAGATGAAAGATTCTGACCAAGAATAAGCAATGATAATCGCACATGACCTTTAACCTTAATAGAAATAAACTTTCAAGAATTATGTATCTTCATCTATCAACTGAATTTGCGTGAATAACAACAAAACAACAAATGAATACTCATGAATATATAATCTGGAGGAAAAGTAAATGTTCAACTGAGAGTTTGAATGTAATAATGAAAGCACGTTAATAAGTGATTTACATGAATGACAATCGTAATCCATTTTATTTTGATTAACTATCAAACTAAATACTATAAATTAACTTAATCTATTACTAATAAACAGTTACGAAAATGTAGTAATAACATATTACCCCAAGAGGAGTATGAATATTAACAAAATCAACAAGATTCAAACCGATAATGTATTGATCAGAGTAAACATTTCATCATGAGAGTTTCATCATTTTTCATGAATAAAAATCCATCTTCAGGGTGATCACCATGAAAGTAGTTTTTTATTCATTGATGAATCAAAAGTTTCATTTTCAGAGCAGTTTACTAATTGTAGTGATTATGTGATATGTTTGGTTTTTTTTTAATATGATGAACAGGTAATTTTAGTCTGATTGATAAATTTCAACAATCATCATAATCAACAAATCGGTAATAATCATGTTACAATCAGATAATTGTTGCCGTTTAATTCAAACTGACAGATGAATTGAACGTTAATTTATGGTTAATGGTCGTGAAAAAAAAAGTTTCATCATTATAATCATCATGGTAACTATTCAGAGATTAGCAATTAACTTTCATATGAATGGTGAGGATGAAGTAAAAGAGATGATGATGATGATGATGATGGAGATAGTGATGAGGATGAGGAAGATGAGAAGTGAAAAATAACTGTAATTGATGAACATGGAAATTGAAAGGGTCATGATAATGATGATATACTTTTAGGATGATGGAGAAATTATATTTTCCCATTGACAAATTGAATCAAATTAATGAGAGGCAATTTAAAAGCTCTACTGTTGATGATAATTAAGTGATCCAGATAAATTCAATGGTTACGAGTATTCATCATATCGAATTAGTTAATCACAATCAGATGGATAATGAATTAATTGTCATTCATTAGCAAAGGTTATCAAACAATTAAAGTTTCCTTTATGATTATAAATTATTACAATACAAAGTAAGTTAATAAAACCACACATTCAAATTGTGCTAAATCTGATTGATTAGCTGATTGTTGAACTTCAGATGTTAATTGTGTTTTTTTAGTTGAATAAATGATCAACTGATTAAATTTTCAATTTAAATTTTTCTGTAAAACATTTCATAGATTTTCATCTAATTGGAATCATTTAACTTGACAGTTTCCTTAATACCAAACATATGAAACAATTGAATAGTAATTCAAATGTATCAATCAAGGTTGGAACTAATTAATTTCAACAATTAGGAGTTTGGACTAATCAGAAAGACAATTTTTCATGATAAAATTAACAAACTATAAGTTAAGATCATTTTGTCACTTTCCCGTCATTAGATTGGAGTTGATTGTAATTAGTAAGACTCAATCAATTCCTATGGTTCAAAATGACACGAATTTCATGAGATTATATTGATTAAATGATTAATGTCAATTGTTTTAGTTAAAAATGGTGAATGTTGATTCAGACAATTATCTGATTAAAGCTATGCTAACAATCAATGAAGAAAAAAGGTAATCAAGATGATCAATTTTCTCATTAAAAGTCCAAATTTTCCCATGAAAGTTACAATTTACCGTTGGAATATTCTGATATAATTTAGTAGAAATGATTTTAAAAGTTTGTGCAATTAGTTTATTCTTGATAATTAATGTGGTTCCAACGGAATGTATGGTCGAAAAGATCAACAAAACATTGTTCAGCAATTATCGAGATTTACAGAAGATCATGAATAACTTGGGCGAAACGGAAAGGCCAAAGCCTGATGAAAATTCCGTCATGGAGTTTAGACGATCTATGTTTTCCGTTGTAAAGAAAGAAAAAGATGAAGCTCGAACTTGTGGACAGTTAATTGAATCTCGAGGCTTTAATTACAAAGTATACAACGTTACAACTTCCGATGGTTATATTATAACTATCTATCGAATTATCAATCCAACGTTCAACGGAACTAAACTACCAAGACCATTCTTGCTCGTACCTGGTGCTTTCTGGTCATGTCCAGTTTTCCTTGCTAATCAGAAGGATAAACAAGGTTCACTTGGCTATTATTTAGCTGACCGATGTCAAGATGTTTGGATTATCAACCCGAGAGGAAGCGTTTACTCAAGGAATCACACTCACTACAAACCATCAGAGAGTAAGAATTGAGAATATTAATATAACATCAATTTCTCCAGAATTTAATTAATTGTTCAAACTTCACTCATCAGATAGGAAGTATTATAACTATACCTATTTCGATATCGGTGAGAAGGATATTCCTGCAGCCGTTGAACTTATCAAATCGGAAACGGGATATAGTAAGTTAATTGGAACATAACCTTAGAATACTTGGTTTTTTTTGTTCAACTTCGAACCTTTTTATCCTTATATTGTTTCTTGTTTTCTGCTTTAAGGTCAAATTAATGTCGTTGCTTATTCACAGGGAACATTGGAACTTATTGTTCTATTCTCAAAGAATCCATCTTATGAAAGAAGCTTTCATTTGATTTTCTTTATTGGACCTATTGGATACTTGGGTCAACTCGAAGGGATTTCCGGTACTCTCCCTCGTGATCCCATATCTTTAAAACTAATCGAAATGTCCCCCGGGCCATTTCCTCCCTTTTTCCCTATTCTTGACTTTTCTTTGGTCGCGTTTTTTTGCACATTCAGTATACAGATTCCCATTTGTTTGGAGTTTTTTAGTCAAGTCTCTGGTCCTGATAGAATGCAAGTTCGGCTTAATCGTTTACCTGTTTACTTAAGTTTAGGCGAACCAACAAGTCCGAAACTTGTTCTCAAAATATTACAAGATAATCAAAATGATGCTATTCGTGAATACGATTATGGAAAAGATGAGAATCGAGCAATTTATGGTCAAGAGAAACCTCCAATGATTAATTATCAGAATATTCCTACACATAAAATTGTCCTAATTAGCGGAGAAAATGATTACATTGCAACTTCGCAAAATGTTCAAAAGTTGCGAAATTCAGTCAATGGTAGATTCTTGGTTGATCATATTGTTACAAATCCTTATTGGGGTCATCTTGATTTCGTTTTTGGTAAAGATGCTGATCTTTATGTCAACGAAGTTATTTTTACTCTAACTTTTAGATATACTCCCTCAGGTAAATATTATCATCAACAATTTACTATTATCTTAGTTACTAATCATGTTAACTTGTTCTCATTTTATTCATTAGAATCAACCATCAACCAATGTAAAAAGTTTGATACAACCCCAGAGAGAAATAGTAATTCTTATTCCGGTACACAGGCAAATGGTAATTCTGGTACAGTCGTAAAAACAGATAGTCAATCTAATACATTTTCGCAGACAAATACCAATGCTAATACAGTCGCAGAGGCAAATACTAGTTCCGAGTCGAAGGCCAATACTAATACTGACACATCTTCACAGGCAAATAGTAATTCTGGTACAGTCACAGGAACAAATAGCCAAGCTAATACAGGAACATCAAGTTAAACAGAATTCCGTCAATCATTAGCAAAAACTAATTCCTCTCTAAATTAAATAAATTTCAACTGAATAAAATAATTACTCATTCTTGATGATACTCCATTCATTAACTAAACATAATCAGTGGAAATTAGTTTTTTTTTATTGCAAATACTAAATAAGTAATTAAGTTAATCTACTGGTTAAGCCATTTGAAACAGTTTCACTTAATCGTATTAAATGTTTCAATTGCTGGATTCATTGTAACAATCACAATTAACACATATTCCAAATGGATTGGAAAATTTGAACCTCAAATCTTAATTATGATCCTTAAAATAAACCAAAACCTGACCAATTAAGATTTAGAAAAGGTTTCATTATCTTTAATCAGGTAAATTGTGAAATAATTTCATGAGAGATGTTGATTCATTTTGATATACATCATGTATTAATATTAATACATTATGAATCTTGATTAGTAAATGATAATAATATTATTGTGTGTAATTGACAAGATAAATGTTTTAATGGTTAGTAATTTATTATTCATTGTTAATTACCTATTGACCTTTACCTTTTTTTTTACCTCTTACAATGATTAGGAAATTAACTCTTTCTAAGTTATTGATATATGTTCACTATTCATACACTTAATGAATGTATTAATGATTCTCATCATGGTGAAAATGATCATCACCATGATAATCACCAGGACTTTCACCATCATCATCTCCTTAAATTGAGACTAGAATACAATCATAAACAATAAAATAGTAATAAGAGTAATAATAATATTCAATGATAACGATAATCATGTTAATTTAATAACACTTGCATAGGAAACTACCAAATGAATCTACAGAGTGTAACATTCAGTTAAATTCAATTGCAACATGGATAATCAATCAAATGTTTTAAGGTAATTAATGGACACACTGTAGTAACTTTTTTTTTCAATGTTAATAGTAAGTGTTCACATTGAATACAGAAAAATAGACTAGAAGAAAATCAATTAGGCCAACCAATTTGCTTAACAGTTAAGTTTAACAGTTTTTTTCGATGGTTCTAGTTTATTATTATATTGTTATCATCTCACAATTTAATTCCCTAATGTTAATCTCGATTCTTTGTCTAAAGTGGAAACAAACTAATGAGAAATAGGAAAACAAATGGAAGAAAACAAGAGAAAAACAGCTCGAAGATGGAAATCATCATGAGAATGATGATGATGATGATGAAGGAATAGAGAAAGAAGAAGAGAAAAAAACTTAACCGAATTTGTTTACTCAACTAACTAGGAAAATCTAGGAACCAAAATCAAGTTAATTGTTCTCGTCCCTTAGATGTTAATTGTGTTGGTTAATTTTTCTTATTCTTGGCTTTTTTTTCATTAGAGTTTAAATGGTAAATTGGCTCTTTGGTTAAGAGAGAGAGAGTGAGAGAAATGGGAAACATATATAAAAGTTCATTTCAATTGTGAATATGTTGGTGGATAAATTAACTGATAATGTTGACTAATTTAAGATGATGATGAGGATGAGGATAATTATGATTAAAAGATGAACGAGATTATCAGCAATGGTAATAAAAAAGCCTCCCAGGCTCCTTTTTAATTACCTTTGGTTTGATTTTCTCTTCATCTTTTAATTTAGAAAATCATAATTTTCTGTTGAAAATCAAGTGAAATCAAGTAATATCATGTTTACTCATTTTGGAGAAAAGAGATTTCTCTTCATCATCGTCATCAACTTGATCTCCTCTTTCTCTCTCTCTCACAAACATACATCTTATAGATGTGTAAAGATGAGGAGAAGATTATGATGACAAAGATGAAGACAAGATTCTTTTCCATAAAAAGAGTATCAGAATTACAACAGTGAAAGCAACATGAAAATTGAACAATTTTTCATTAAGACAAATCGCTTAAGTGAAATAATAATAATATTATTATTATTTCAGGTAAACAAGTTGAAGATATTGGGTGAGAAGATTAAGATGAAAGGGATTAGATTAGAGGGATAGATTAAAAATGGTAAGAAGATTAGAGAGATGAAGGAATTAAATATTAATTATTGTTTGAGTAATAAGAGAGGGAGATGAATAATCCTTACGTTATTGGTTGACTGTCACTTTCATTGTCATCATCATCGGTTCCAATACTTATTGGTTTTTCTGGAGATTCGACTTCATTGTCAGAATCACTGAGATTATCTTTTTCCAGGTTATCCTCTCCTTCACCATAATCTGAAGGTATTTCACCCGTACAGGTAGATGGAATATCTTTCATACACTTTTTATGGGCATTAAATTTACAGTCTTTACATTGATAACCTTGACGGAATATTCCTTTCAATAGTTTCTTACATGATTGACAAATCGTTGGACTGGCATAGGAATGAACGACAAATGTATGGGGTATCCTCATTCCCTCGGCTATTTTTTTATCAAGACGATTCGGTTTAACGGTAAGATTGAAACATTTCTCATTTCCCGTGGATGCACGACGATCATGACTTGGTGAGGATAAGAATGCTGGTGCTTCTGGTAGGGTTGCGCCGCTACTTGCTGTTCGTTGGATCGTCTCGTTTGATGGTGAATTGGGTATTAAATGGGCTGAGGATCGACGTCGACTTCCGTAAATACAATTATTGGGTATCTTGTAGGCACATCTTTTGTGATAATTTTGACCACATCCTTCACATTTAAGTCCCTGTTTAACTAAACCGAAAAGCATTTTAGCACAAAAATCGCAAAAAGTTGGAGACTTGTAGGAATGCATTTTAAGTTGATGAGGTCGAATTGAGAGTTCATCGTTATTGGATGGATCTTTCAGTGAAACGACAACCTCAATCAATGAACCATTGGTAACTTCGGAAGCGATATTTATGGGAAGAAGCATATTCTGTGAACTGTATTCGTGTTTAAATAGGATAAGACGTTCGTCCAATTTATTGAGACCATGTTCGGGATACTTTTTATCGATAAAATTACAGGCAAGATCCTTGAGGCTTTTAAGGTTAAGTTGACTTGTATTGATGTTCACCTCATCTCTAATTAGACCCGATTGTAGTGAGAAGGTAATTTCACCAGTGATATTAACCAACGGTAAATCCATTTCGGTTGACCGTTTAGATGAATTAAATAAGATGATGGAATGATAAATGGATGAAAATGAGGATGATGGTAATGTGGTAATTTTGGTTCCTTTGTAGATAACACCAATACCCCTGGAAAATAATTTCAATAAAATTTAACAAAAACAAAAGAAGAAGAAGAAGAGAAAAAGTCAACGGTCTCTAATTACAATAATATCATCAATTATGATCATCAATTGGAATCAGTGTATCACTGGAATCAAAGAAAGGTGAATGTTGTGTTATTGCCAGTTGATTTTGGAATTTAAAATGGAAATAATTCAATTTGATGGAGTCAATTTTGGGTGGAACATGGGAAAAGATAAAAGAGATACACTTGGAATAGAATTCACAACATGAAAAGGTAAAGGAATGTTCACTTGGAATGCAAAGGTAAACACATAGAAAAAGAGAGAAAGAAAGAAAGAGAGAGAGAGAGAGAGAGACACAAACACTAGAGAATAGAAAAAAAAACCTAAATAGAAAAAAAGTGAAGAGAATGAAAGAGATAAAATTAAGAAAAAGATAAAGAGATGGAGAGATAGAGAAGAAAATATAAACACTAATATAATTATGGAAAAGGATGATGACAAAATTAAGAAGTTTGAGAAGAGATGATGATTTGTTGTTCATGAGAAAAGAATCATGTTAATCAAATTAAAGGAAAACAAAAAGTGAAATAAAATAAAAAACAATCGTCAGGCACTAATTTCAAGTAGGAGTTGGTGGGAGGTAGAGTTACGGTGACAAGAGATGACAAAGATTTTGTTGTGATTGATGAAAATGATGAGGACAAGTTGTAGGTTTTGTAGTTTTGGTTAGAGAATGATGATAAATATTCAAGAGAAAAGTGGAAGAGAGTCAATCATCATCTTCTTACGTTTATTAAATTGATCGCCTTTGTGTAACCAGTAAGCTTGGGAAAAGCTCCATCTCCCTGAGTGGCTCATAGTTACAATGGAGGGCGATATGAATTCAGTTATATTACAAAAGGTAAAAATTGATTTTCTTTGATGCAACAAAAAAAGAGATACAATTGATTGATTTTTGATTTTCTTTTTTCTTTTTTCTTTTCTTCTCCTTTGATGATGTTGATTGTTGATTGACGGTTTTTCGATCCATAGATTTGACTTGATGTTAACTGTTATTTAAACGTTTACTCTCTCTAGTTGGTCTATTGTTTTGTTCTAATCGACGTTTTCTTTTCAATTCTAAAGTTTTTCGATAAAAAAAACCTCGACGAACTGTTGGTTGTAACCAATTTTCTGATTCTTCTTCTTCATTTTGATCGGAAATTCGAGCAAACATTGTTAATAATTGGGTCTCATTTTGATTATTATCACTTTCAACCTCTCGATTATTTGATCTTTTTACAGTTATCCTTCCAACTCGACTGGTTGTTGGAATAAATTGATTAATTTCAGTTGAATCATTTGATTCAGCCGCTGATCCATTTGATTCTGTTGGATGGTTGTTGATTACACTAGTTGATTCACTATTATTTACATTTGATTGGCCATTAATTGTTGATCCATTTGTTACACGTTCTATTGTTGTTGTTGATGTTGATGGTTGAGGTTTGTCCACTTTGGAAAAATAATTGTCTATTTTGGCGTTTTTCCAGCACAAATCAGCGTCAACAAATTTCGAAGCAGTAACACTCGCTCTGACAATTGGATCTATCATATTGACACCATCTTCATGAATAAATTTAGATAATACATGTTTGTTTACATATTCAACCATTCGAGTGGAATCCATATCGTACATTGGTAAAGATTTTGAAACATGTCCGTTAACATTGAATTTAACGTGAACTGTTAACAATTTAGCTGATCGATTGTTTCTTTTTCTATCTTCTTCTAATCGTTCAACAAGTTCACTACACAATTGTCCAAACCAATGGGTTACCTGTTGACTTGTAGATAGACAACCTTTACCTGGAAAATTTTTACCACAACCAATAGATTTAGGTATTTGTCGAGCTACAACAGCTTCATCGTCGATTCCTTCTCGTAAATTGATTAACCAATTAAGAGTTTTACCCATAAATAAAGAGGTTAAATGTGTCTTTGGTATGGCCGCTAATTGTCCCATGGTTGTTATTCCAAGTTTACTTTTTAATTCATCACCTAATTTTCCACCTAAATTACGGACTTTGTCAATCTTTGTGTTTTCATACACTTTGGGTACACCAGAATAAGCTAAAATCGTTTGACAATTAGGCTTATTCATGCCAGCAGCTAATTTTGAAAGGGTTTTATTATGACTAATACCAGCTGAGCATTTAAATTGTGTTTCTTGAAGAATAGCAGCTCGAATTTGCTTTATTGCCGATGCACCGATTAAAAGTCTTTCCTCTTCACTTCCAGAATCAGCATTGTCATAGAAATGTTTTAATTTGGCAGCTTCAATTTCATTTAAATCTTTCCCTTGAAATCCTACATCAGATAAACCGGCGATACGAGAACCTTCAATTTCTTCCCATGAAGGTTTCATTGAAATTTCATCAACATAGTTGGTTAAATCGAGAAAAGCTTCATCAATAGAAGCTCTTTCAATGGTAATCAACGGATTAAAAGAGGAAATAACATCCATCACCTCGGTTGATGCTTTTCGATATTTTCCAAGATTGGCTTTACCTCGTTCCTCTTCAACCATGAACATATGAATATCAGGACAAACGGCTTTAGCATCATCACCACGAAATCCACGTTTAACTCCGAAAGCTCTCGCTTCATAACCAACGGCAATAATTCTAAGTGTAAGAAAAAGAATAAGAAAACAAATGTTAGTTGAGAAGAGACAAAAGTAACAAAGGAAACAAGGAAAAGATCAACTGTCATAACGAGATCGAAAAAGAAAACAATAAGTAGACAACTTACCCTCCACCTCTCCAAGGATTATATTGAGCTACAGCACAAGGTTTTCCCCAATACTCAGGCTCAGCTCGTTGTTCAACTTGAACATAAAAACAGTCCATATCAATAAGAGCAACAATTCTGTCCCTCATATTGATTGGAATTAAAAACTAATTAAAATAGACAAACAAAGAACAACAATAAAACTTGTTACTCTTTTACCGGGTAAAAAAAATGATGCAATGTTACAATACAAAGGAGAATCACTTGGATCACTTAGCTCGTTCTAATGAGCTTGTATTTTACATATCGATCAGATTAAAGGAAATGTATTTACATATAATTGATGAGCAAGAACAATAGTTCAATAAATAGTCTTGAACAATATCAGGCTTCATTTAAGAAGAAATTAAAAACTATGAAATTAAAAGATGATGTAAAGATGGAGAACCGGAAAAAGAATAGAAAATGATGTTAACAAATAACAAAAATATGGAACGAGTTAAGATTTGGGTTAAAAGGATGAGTTAAAATGTTCTACAAAATGATTAAGTAAATTCATAGATTGTAGACATTTTAAAGAATTTAAATTAGATTTAAACAAATCTAATTAGTTGAATGTAATTGAAGAAATTAATTTTAACAATAATAAGAAAAAAGCAAAAATCCAAAGTGAAAATTGGTAAGAACGGTTTTGTTAAATGAGACCAAATTGTTTCACAGGCTCTAAATCTTTTATCCTCTTGGTAACACTTGATTAATATTCATCCGTGTGACTTAATTAGTTGACATCTTCAGGGTTAAATTGAGAAAATTACAATCAACAAATAAAGATTAACAATTAAAAACAATTAATAAATTAAAAGCAAATGTCAAAAAGAAACACCAACAGTTAAGAGCATCGATACAATAGATGGAGCCACATTCGGTTCGATTCGTGGCTCCATCTATTGGGCTAATTGTTAGAATTTAGATTCTTTTGAAAATTAAGATTAGTTGATTGTTTTTATTGTTTTGAATGGAAGTCAATTAACTATTGATTTGTGACCGGATTCATTTTATTGACCTGATACGAAAGGTCACAAAAATGTTGTTTGTTTTATTATCGTTATTGTGATTGTTATGATTATCCAAGGTTAACAGGAGAGTCAACAATTAACAACAACAACAATTTAAATTGAATTAAACAATTTCCTTATAACATACCGGTGGTGAAAATGATCAATTAATTGCTCTCTTCAGTAATCATTTATTATAATCATAAAACAATCAAATTAATAAATAGTTAAGGGCAGTAAATGAAACAATTTAGTTAAACATTAAAAGGAGAGAGAGAGAGAAATTTATTCAATTTAATTAACTCGATTGTTGGAAAGGTTAAATTACCATTTTATTGTTTAATTGTTTTAACAACAATTTATTGATCACAATAAATTAAAGTCCATTGAATTACGGAAGTTAATTGTAATCTGATTCCTTTCTTTAAGTCAATAATGAATTAATTAAGTTAATTGGAAGTCGGAAAGAAACAAATGAATCAAATGTAAAATAATAAATTTAGAAATTAAAAAAAAAGTTAACTAATTACAATTAAACAATCAGATTGATTGAAAATTAATAATGATACAGAAAATAATCAAAAATTCATCTAGAATCTTTAATAACCAAAGTGATTAAGTTAATTGTTGTCATGAGAATTTCTTGAAGCTTGAATTGTTAATCAATTTCCGTAATCAAATCAATTTAATTAATGATAAACTAATTACTGAACCAAGATAATCAACCTGAAACAATGATCAATTAATATATATATATGTATGTATAAGATTAACCCTGAAACAATTAACTAATCATAATTAGCTTAAAAATTTGTTTACATTAACTTGATTAACCGGAAATCTCAAACTTTAATCACAATTAAAGTAAATAAATGATTAACTAATTGTTATCAAGGAAAAATGTAACAAGTTAACAATTAATGTGTTTAATAAGATCAACAGTTACAATTGATTGTCAACAATTGATTTTAATTGTAATGATCAAAAATTGACAGAAGAAAATTATTTTTTCCTAACTAACCTTCAATCAAATCAATTTAATTAATATGATTACAATGAAAAAGTATCAATTATTAATATTGATTGATAATTAATGTAATCAAAGGTTGATGATTACTGTCAACTGATTATTGTGAGTGTTAATTTAATTTGATATTGTCAACAATCAAATATTAATCAGAAATCAGGTTAGATGAAAAGTTAATTGTGCTTGATTAGCAGTTCAAACATTAACATTAGTATTTTGTTATATTAAGTCAACAATTTATAATTAACTTGAATTCACAATTAAGGAAGTGTAGACTTAATCATACTGGTTGATGATGAAAATAAAGATAATCACAATTAACTAACCAACACAATGATGATTTTTATTTTAATTTAAATAGTTAATTTTGGCTTAGAAAATGTAAGTTAATTGTTTGGGTAAATGTTAAATTGTGAATTTAATTTAATTTGTCCCTGTTGAGATTTATTATCAATGATGATGATGATGATGATTAAACATTTATCATTTTTAATTATCTCAATCATGATAAATGATCTGGTTAATTGTGAACAATTTAAAAAATTTCATTCCAACTTGATTCTTGTTTTCTGATCAGTTAAAATACAAACAATTTAATCATTAATTTACCTTCAGTTTAATTAACCCAACAAACCTGTTGATCATCATCATCATCATCATAATTATCAGTTAATTGTGATGCTCATACAAAACAATCAGAGACTTAATTTAGATCCATTAATAAGTTTCCATAACAATCTTGTTTAATTGTTACACCGGATTAAAAGTTAACCTTGCCAATGAAAATTAATTGTAATTGACAAAAAAAACAACAAATTAACCATTGTAATGATTAGAGTTTACATCTGTTGTTTGTAGTTAATTGTTATTTTAAATATCTAAGATAATTAATAACAATTGTTAATAATAATCATCATATAGTTAATAAGTTAATTATTATATGGTTTCTAATCAATGTCAATGTTAATCATAATGATTAACTTTTCTTAACGTGAGTCAATCAGTTAAGGTTAATCAAAGGGATTTACATTATATATCTGAAACCTTAATCAACAATCAACCTCATAATAGTGATTAACAAGAAAAAAGCAACAATTAGAACCGATCTACCTACAGTTAAATTGTTGTTGATTAAAAAGCAATGAAAGTCTGTTGGTAAATTGTTGGAGAAAACAAAAAATCAAGGTTAACAATTAAGAGACTCAATTGTATTAATATAAAAGTAAAAGTTTTCATTTTACTTTTTTACCTTATGAACAAATTGAGTGATCAAGTGGGAATCAATAACATGAATGATATTTAATGATATTAAATTGCAGCAGAAAACTGATTCATTAATTATGAGCAATCAAGAAAAAAGGTAGAAGATGAATTGAATTAAATTAAACAGCAATTAACCAGAAAACCAGAAAATCAAATATTAACATTACCAGAAAACCAGATTTGTAATCTTATCTGTTTGTCTCTTGATTTTTATTCAAGTTTTTACCTTAAAAAAATTGATTCCAATTAATGTAAAAGTTAATCAAAAGTCAATCATTTGTGTTTTAAGTTTCCAAGTTAATTAATTGCTAATCATGTAATCAAATCTCTTACTAATTAACCTTTTTTATTTATTCAATCATTTTTACTCATAATTGAATATCTTTAATCATAGAAATTAATTGTGATAATGTTAATCAGAACAAAAAAAATTTATTCTCATCCCAATTACCATCAAAATGATCATTTCAATTAATAGTTTGATTAGTTAGTTAAATTGTAACCTTGACTTAAATTGTTTCTTATTAATGATAATTTAAAGCACCGATTGGATTCACATTTAATTGTAACAATTAACAGACAGTATAATATACACTCACAGTCACAATCAAAGGTTATTAACTAATCATCATCAGATTTTGTTTGTAACTGATTCAACAATTGATCAGAATTAATCATTTACAGTGATTAGAAAAAAGCAAAAAATAAAAACTCAATCAAATTAAATCACAATTTTTACCACAACGAAGCTAAACAATCAGTAAGAAATACTTACAGTGATTATAATTATAAATCACGCAATCAAATGATTTAATTCATCAACAATTGAGTACAAAAGGTAACAATTTAGTTTAACTAATGACAATTAACTGGTTAACTTTTTTTTTCGTACCAAAAAAGTGCTCATGTTAATCATGTTTAGTGTATTGAATTAACAACATTGACTATGCAAAAGTAGCAAAAAAAACTTTGTCTCAGTCTCTGGTTCATTTAATTAACTAATTAGTTAACAAAGTGAACAATTAGTTACAACAATTTACGGCAACAATTAAGTGTAGGTTTCCAATGATTGAACAAATTGTTTAAAATTGACAACAAGAGTAACAATTAATGAGCAGCAAATGTCTGATTGAAGGTTACAATTAATTTTGTTGTATTGAAATATTAATTGTTGGTTAATTTTTTCATTCATTTTCCTATCAAAAAATACTGATAGTTCATTGAAAAAGTCAAACAATTAATAAATCACCCTGTTGATCAAATCTCGAGAGTGAAACATTAATTTCAATTGATTAATAAACGAAATGTTAATTTTCATGTTAACCAATTGAATGTTTTAATTTTCATGATTAAAATTAGCTGAAAAAAAAGTTAATCAAGACGTTGATTGAGTTACAGTTAAAACTTTTCATTTAATTATGATTTAAAATTAACTTTCGCTTTTTTGTTCAACAATATTTACCTGAATAAATGAATTACCATTTTCGTGTAAATTTAGTTGAAACAATTAACAGAAATGTAATGATAATAATGATGATTAATTAAAATCATGTAATATTAATAAACTTAAACTGGATTTGAAACTTTTCATAACAATAATTAGTTTTCAACATGGAAATTAAGTTTTCATATATAATTTTAACCAGAATCTTGTGATAGAATCGTTGATAACCTTTGTCCGAACTCAGAGTTGGCCTGAGAAACCACACTGACCACTTTGGATCTAAGGTCAGCGGAAGCTTCCATCAGGTCCATCGCCATATTGTAAACTAAACTGTCTCGATCTTGAGGTCTCAACGAATCCCAGAACTCGGAAGGCTAATTGAAAGGAATAAGAAGATCTGATTGATTAAAACGATCTGTGATCTTGACCAATGGTCAGAAAAATTACCTGACGATAGTTGTCATTATCTAAACTGTTGTATCGATTGACAATACAGGGCTCGGCGGGTGACCAGGAATCTGAATAATATGAAGCGTCCATTTTGTATTGAGGGTCAAAGGTATTGGGTAGGAAATTGGGGATCGAACCGTAATTAGAGTCGCAAACATAAGCACCATCACGAGCTGTCGGGTTAATTATCGGAGTAATTGGTAAATTAACTGGTAATTTATAATTGTTAGCACCCAATCTGAATCAATTGTGGAAACAATAGATTAACCCAATTTAATTTTTGATTCAGTTGCATGGTGATGATGATGATGATGATCTAACAAAATGAATTGATTTCTGCCTTAATAACAATTAACTGTAATGATTTACCTGTAATTTTGTGTGTCAATATAAGCAATCGTACGTGCCTGAATTAATTTATCTGGAGCTGGATTAATACCGGGAATTAAATTTGATGGTTTAAATGCTAATTGTTCAATCTCAGCAAATTCATTTGCAGCATTTTGATTCAAAGTGATTTTACCAATTTCAATTGAAGGATAAACATTTTCCCACCAAGTCTGATTTAATTTTGTTTCAATCAATTGTTAATAATAGAAATAGAGATTTTGATTAATGTTTAACAATTAAAAAAATGGTAAAGGTGATTTACTAACCTTGGTTGAATCAAGGATATTGAATGTTGCTTTTGAGGCTTGATCGAAGTCCATTACTTGAACTCGTAATGTCCACGAAGGAAAGTTTCCTGATCTAATTGAATTGAACAGATCTTTGGATGAATAGGAAGGGTCAAGACCCGATATTTGGATTGATTGTTGTCGGGTAAGATTGTGGATTCCACCGTTGGGAACTAGGTTAAATCGGGCGAAAAACATTCCACCGGTGGAATTTGTTAGACGGAAAGTGTTTATGCTGAAACCTGGAAGGAAACGGAAACCATCGGGTGTCCCTGCATCGGAATAAAGGTACATGAAAGCGTGAAGAGCTTCAGGATTTGCGGCGAGAAAACTAAAGGTATTTTCGCGACTTGGCCAGTTACCGACGGGATCAGGTTTTTGAGAATGGACAAAATAGATGAATCGAAATGGATCACGAACGAAAAAAATTGGAATCGAAAGGGTTAATAGATCAAAATTTCCAATATCAGAATAAAATCTAATGGCAAAACCTCGAGGATCACGAGCTGCATCTGATGAACCTCTCGAACCCATTGTGGTCGAGAATCGAATGGCCACTTTTGTGGTAACATTTGGAATATTAAACAACGGAGCTTTGGTATATTGGGACACGATTTTAGTATTTGTTGGTGTAAAAATACCGAAAGCACCATAACCTTTAGCATGAACAACTCTCTCAGGTATTCGTTCATGGGTCCAATGGGTCAATTCTTCAACAAACTGACCATCTTCCGCTAAAAGTGGACCCGAAGGACCAACAGTCATGATATTATACTTATCGGATATTGGACATCCATTGAGACGCGTTAAAATAGTACCAGTAGGACCCGTTGGCCTGGCCGACGGAGAAACGGACGAAACTGATTGTTGAAAATTTGACCAAGAAAATTGAGCGAAACTTTTATTTGGACAAACAATCAAAACGAAACCGAGATAAAACCAAAGGAAAATTGAAGTTTCCATAACAATTAACTAAATAGCTCAAGGATAAGATTGATTGTTGAACGATTAACAATCAATTGAGACCAATACTCTAATTGTCAACAGTATTAGTTGATTGTAACAATATAATCAAAGATAAATCTTAATACAGTTTGTGATCAATATTTTCCTTCAATAATTATGATCCTGTTCTGGTACAAATTGATTAACTAATTAGTAAATTGTTCAATAAACGAGACATTGAGTTCTGTGTTAAAAAAAATCATTTAATTGTCTGCTAATTGTTTTTGAAACATAATCATAATTTGATTTTAACCATGATAGATTAAATTGTTACTATTAACAATAGGAAGTAAATTAGAGTAATTATTAAATAAGTCAATCAATATGTTACAACATGAAACCATTTCAACATTGTTAATCAAGAAAAAAAAATAAGCACAATTAACAATTTATGAGAAGAATCAAATCAAACGACAATTAAATCAAACTAATCAATAATAATATTTTTCTTTTAACATAATTAACCGGATTTATTATTGGTAATTGTTAAATCAACAGTATCATTTAGTGGTAATAGTAATTAATCAATTTGTTTAATCATGAGCAAAGTTAATTGATTAACCATTAGAGGCTCGGAACAATTAATTTAATCACTGTTTAAGGAAATGATTACTATAGTAATCAAATTAAATCAACAACTGGAATCAACGTTTTCAAGGTTTCACTTAATTATTGGCTAAACAAATTGATACAATTGATTGAATATCATTAATTTAATTATCACAATTAACTTATTCACCATTAATTATATAATTTCTTTGGGTTGATTGTATTGAAATAAATGATGATGATAATATCTCTCGATACGAATTGGATTTGATTGAAACTGTGAATTAAATTATATAAGAATTGGATTGAAACTAAATCAAGAATTGAGAAAAGGTTAATTTTGAATCTGAAAGAATTAGTTAATTGTTGAGTTAAGATGTTAAATGATAATATTTAAAACTAATCGTGATTTAAAGTGATGAAAATGATAATTGTGATTAAAGAGTGAAAAGATTGTTAAGAAAAAAAAAGAAGGATGTTAATTGTGATTCTTAATCAAATTGTATAATTAAGGGAAACGAAAGTGTTTTCTCAATTCTAACAATTTAATCATCACCCAATTGTTGGTCTATTGTTGTTTGATCATCACTTTGATTATAGTGATTAAATTAAATCTTTTTTATGCAAAAAAATTGGCTCATTTGATTCTTTCCGGTTAATTAGCGAGTCAATCAATTGATCATTGAAGGCCTATTTCTTAAACGGTTTTAATGTTAGGTGATTATTATTGTTGTTGATTATGATGTCATTATAATTATGATTAAAAATAACGGGATTAAATTGTTGTGGAATAAAAAAAAACATTTGAGAAGTACAACTTTTGATTGTAACACTATTACAATCAATTGAATGTTTTATCATATATTATTTAAATTGTTCATTGGGATTAGATGGTCATTGATAAAATCGAGGCTGTTAAATAATAATAATCATCACAATCAAATCAGAAATCAATACTGTTCATCATCAAACCAAAATCATCATCATCATCATCAATTTGATTGTGATGGTTAAGGAAACACATCATTAACTTGGAAAAACCTTAAATAATATTGGAAGGAGAAAAAAATTAAAGACAAATAAAAGTGAAAAAAATGATGAAAATCAGATGATCAAGATGATCAAGTGAGAGAGAGAGAGAGCAAAAATAGCCCTTCCCTTTATCATCCTCATCATCTCGATGATTATTATCATTAGTTTTTCATTCATATCGATGAAAAAAATTTGATTCACTTTGTTTACGATAAACTTTTTCATCAAGTCGATTTGAAGATGATGAAGATGATGATGTTCATGTAGGATGATAAGGAGGTCGTCAAAAGGTTAAGGAAGAGGAGGAGGAGGAGGTGATGTAGATGTAGATGTTGTTGTTGTTGTTGTTTTGGTGGTGGTTGAGGGGGTGATAGACAAGAACAGTTCGAATATAATGAAAAAGGTTTGGTGTAAACCTGAAAATCGATCAACTATTAAAAAAGGTTTTCAACTGAATTGAGATTCATTTGTGTAATTGATGATGATGATGGTGATGGTGAAAGAAAGAGTTAAATGATTAATAAATTGTGTTGTTGGTGAGTTTTTTTTAACGTTTTCATCGTATATATAATCATTACAATCTCCCAAAAAAAAAATAGAATAGAATAGAATAGAACTTTTCTCATTTTCGATTAATCCGTTAACGGCGTTTCTAGTACACGGCCTAATCTTATTGTTGAGGTTCGTTTGTTAATGGCTTCCTCTGGAGTCACTTTTAACTTTGGCTGTTGCCTTATTGAGTTGAGCAACTTTTCAAATAAACTTGGCTCACGAACCGGAGGTGGAGGTAATTTCCGTTTAGATGCTGGGACTAGAGGTGGTCGAGATCTTATAAATTCAAGTATAATATCATGAGCATTTTTAGGTACTCTTGAAGGTGCACTTTCATTGACTATAACCTTATTTAACTTGTAACGACGAGATCTTATATCATCCAGCAGCATTTCGAAAGGCGTTAATTCAAATTCAAATGATGGTTTCTCAGTTAGATGAACTTTTTTCAATTTAACATCTTGTCTCAATTCTTGTATCACTTGCATCCAAAGACGAGCCCAATCAGCTAATCCTAAATTTGCAATAGAGATCACAGCTCCGCTTGAATCTGTACAATTACTGGAATGAGAATGATGATGATTATGGTAATATTGTTGATGTTGGTGTTGGTGTTGTTGTTGTTGATGGTGTTGGTGTTTATGATGAGAATAATGTGAAGGAGAATGAGGATAAGAATGAGATGAACCTCCTGACATGGAAATGTTGACATTTTTAAGTTCTGATGTAAATGAGGTAATTTTATGAAGAAATGAAGATAATTCCATTGCTTCGGCAACCAGTGCTCGACAAACAGCTCGATAATGGGCTTCAGCTGCTTCAGCGGAACCCAAACGATTATTACATAAACTGAGTATCTGTTCAACCAAATTTGATCCATCGATGGCATTGGGTCCAAACTCATATTCAGGTGAATCTCTTTCAATACCTTCATCATTTGATTCTTTATCCTCCATTTGTGAACATGTTAACCGGTCAATTAAAAGTTCTAAATTTGCATCTAAAGATCGCTCTTCTTGAGATTCTAATCCATAATCTAAGGCAAGGAAAAGAGTTGTTCCAATGGAGGCAAACAAGTTACCAGGTTCGCTCGTGATAATGGCATTTACTCTGTTGGCTAAAGGAAGAAACAATCAAATGAGAATAGAAAATTGTTATAATATGATATTCTTCTCTCTCTCTCTCTCTCTCTCTCTTCTCCTTCTCTATTCATAATACATGTACATGTATGTGTATGTGTATACGAGTCAATTGAACTCTTGGGAGAGGTAAAAGAATATGATTTATCTACATAATGGAAAGGAAAAAGAGGAAAAGATGAAAAGAAGATGAAAGAATGGGAGTTTAATGGTTTACCTGATTCGGTGAACGATTTCTCATGGACAAAGCCTTCTTTGTTGATGTAAAGGTTGGCTGGACCATTGAGCAGGTAAAGAGGACGTTTGTCATTGAGACGTGAAACGGTTTTAACTGTTTGATGGCATAAAGCCCAACACTGTTCCTCATTGATCGGTGCATTGAATGATTCCAAGATGGATGAAAGTGATACACAATTCGAGGAGTCAAGTATATTCTTATCCGATTTGGTTATTAGCTCATTAGCCATTAAAGGTGAAATGATAAGGAAAAATGGAGAAGGAAAAAGAAATCACTTCTCTCTCTTTCTCTCTTCTTGTTCCTTTTTCAAATGATAAATACACACACAGAAAGAAAGAAAGAAAGAAAGAGAGAAAGAAAGATAGAGAGAGAGAGAGAGAAAAAGAGCCAACACTCTATGAGGACAAGAAGAAGGGGGACAATTAATGACCAGGAAGAAAAGAACGTAAATTAAGCACAAAATCCACTGTAATTGTAATGTGATGAATTTTCAGTTGATTAGAACAATTTGTCGAAAATATTGTATTGAATTTGGAATAACGTAAGTATGAGAAAGAGACAGATAGATAGACAGGTAGAGAGAGAGAGAGAAAAGGAAAACAAGGTGAATAGAATAGCAAAAAATTCAGAAATCAAGTAAAACAATTTGATTCATTTGGATGACACAAATTAACTGATTCGGATTAGCAACTTGTTAAAACCAGTTTAATTTACTCCCTAACAACTCACTAAATCGCATGGAAAAAAAAACTAATACTCCCCCTTAAAGTTAATCTGTCTAATTTACTGTCGTTAGAACAACTGACAGACTAACGATTCTTTTAACCGATAATTTCGCCTTACGTTGAGTTGCGTCATTGAAACGATAACGATTATTAGAAAAACGGTTATTCTTTTTGCTCTTTCTTTTTTTCTTCTTTTTCTTTTATCACAACCATCTTATCAAAATCTGATTCCTAATAATCTTTCCTTCACTAGAATTGCTCATGAGTTTTCCATGAACCCAATGATGATTGATAAATTGGAAAATTAAAATGTTCCATCATTAAAAGAAGATTAAAAGATTCAAGTTCAAGTTGAAATTTTCGAATTCTAGTTGTTATTCTCACCGATAGATGCCACTGATTTCGAATAAAATTATCGTTAAGATTATCGATTTGAATTGTTTCTTGAAACTTATTCTTATCGTTACTATGGTTACTCTTTCTTTTTGAATTCTTTTTTTCTCTCTTTTCCTGGTTCAGTGTTTATCTTTTTTGTTGTTGTTGTTCTTGCTCCATGATGATGATGACTCATTCTCAATGACAACGAACCTGAATTTTGGCGGAAAAAGATTCCGATTCTTTCGGTTATCTAAAAATACGGTTATCATATTTGATTCAAGATTCTTTTCTCAAATATCGATACTTGATAATTTATCGTTAATTTGATTTCTCTTTTTCTTTCTCTCGATTAATTTAATTTAAGATAATCAACTGACACTTGACCTTTGAACGAATACAATTTATTAACATTAAATGGAAAACTTTTTTTTCTCTCCAACGTTTTCTAATTGTTGTGAAATTGATTCGTTGTGATAAACCAGAAAGTTTAATTGTTCACCATTAGTGTTAATGGTTTTGGACTAATTAACGAGCACGATTAAACTTTGATTGATTATCAATGAGAAAGCTTTCAATTTAAATTGTATATTCATTTGGTTTTTAATTGATAATTAGTAAAATGATTAATAACATGATTTAGAGGCAGAGGTTTGAGAAACTACTGTTAATCACAATTAAGAAAAACAAACTTAACCAGAGAGAGAGAGAGAGAGAGATGATAACAATTTAATGAAAAATAATAATTGTAATTGATTATTGTGTGTTGATTAATGTTGAATCAAGTTAATTAGGTGAAAAATAAAGTCCAGGAAAATGCTGAAAATTGATTATTATTATTATAACAGAAAGAGAAACAATTAAATTAATAATAAGCCTCATGGAAGCTACTTCACTTTTGTTTGACACTTAATTGTTGCAATTTAAGGTTTTGTATATTAATTAATTATTGATCAACATCATCAGCTAATCATTGTGATCCCAAGATTAAATCAAAACAACAATAATAATTGATAATAATTGTATAGTGATATTATTACATTAAATCAAATCTAATTCTTACACTTTGAAATAAGATTTGTATCATTATACTTGAAGATTAATCAAGTTGATTAAAAGATGATTTAGATCAATTAAAAAGGGGGAAAAGGACAACAATGATTAAGATTATTAATTATTAACAATGTATATTAAGTGTACAGAGTTTGTAACATTTGCTTCATTTAAAATGATATTGATAATGATTAGAATTGATTATTTGTTTCTGCAATAAAATTCAAAATGATAAATTATTATTATCTTATTGTGTGATTAAAGTGATTAGAATTGATTAAGATTGGTAATTATATTGTTACAAACAGCGAAAACGATTCATTAAGCAAAGTTAATTGATAATTATTAGTATAATGTAGTAGTTAATTAGTTAATTGTTCAGGAAGATGATGAAAAGGTTTGAAAATATTTTGACAAACAGGAAGAAAATCAATATTTGTAATGATAATTTGATAATTTGATAAAGATAATACATCGGTAATTAAGATTATTGGTCTTGATTTGATTGTTTCCTCAACACAAACATTAATTATGTTTGTAATAATATTTTAAATTGTTGTTAATTGATCAGATCCTTTTGAGTCTTATTTGATTTGATAAGATTGAAATGATTTGATTCATTTTAACACTTTTCAATAATTTTGATGATTCTCATTTTCAACAAGATAATTTTTAAATTGATAATTAGTTAATTGTTATAATTATTATTATTATTATTATCCTTAAGGTCTAGTGAAGACAAATTCATTGTAGTGATTCCAACGATTCTCCTCTGCATCAACACCGGGTTTAAGTGAATCCCCACCCGAAGTGCCCGAACCACAAGAAGCGACACATCGGAAACCATTTTCCATCAGCGCGTCAAATGCTTGTTCAAGTATCTGATGTTTCAAATAGAAACGGGAAGTGTACCTATCTTGTCCAGCGGTATGATCGGGATCCCGAGATTCGTTCAGTGTGTCCCCAAAAACCTCACGACACAAAATGACCTTACCAGCGACAAGGATACGAGTTAACTTTCTGAATTTAACATCAGCCAGTCCATCTTTACCGAAACCAAATGACCCACGATAACCGATTGTAATGTAACCAGAAATTTGACCTGGAACCGTTGAGATGGGGGAATGTGAAGGATTAGCTGGTTGATTATTGGTTGAATTAACTACTATTGATGATGATGAAGTGCTAATTGTTGTCGGTGATGTTGACGATGAGGAAGATGATACGTTTGGTGAAGTTAAAGAGGGAACAAGGGAAAGAGGCTTAAGGTTTCCCGGTGGAGCTGAGGCAATTGATTTCGAGAGTCGATTCAATTGGAAATGATCTGATTCACATTTAAGTCGATCTCGTTCATTGAAATTGTCGGGTAGTATCAGTTTACAATCGTTACGAAGATATTCAATAATATAACGGAATAAGTGACCATCACGATCGATGAAATAACGACCCTAGAAAAAGATAACGGTAAAAAAGATACAATTAGTAAATCAAATGTGTCATTTACTTTTATGATAAATTGTTTCACTGTTTTACTATTACGAGATTATTATTGTTTCAATGATGCTAAATGATTAATGATTATGTGTGACTGTTAAACTGAATTAAATTAATTGTTATCTGTATTTGCTTGAATTTGTAGTAAGACTAAACTGGATTACAAATCTAAAGGGATTTTTATTAATAGATTGACAGATTAACATTATTATGCTCTTGACTTTAATAACGGAAGAGGAAAAGTCGATATCAATTAAGTTGATCAACTGATTACATTGATTTGATTACAGGAAGGAAATATGATGATTAATTAAATTTGAAAAACAAAATCAAAAATTATACAAATAATATACTAGATTAACTGGATTAGTGAATGACAACATCGAAAGATTAATTGAAAACTATTAAGATTAAGGTGAAGGTTAAATTGCAAAGGTGAAATTATCATTAGTGATTAACCAATTATCACCTTAATTGCTGAGTAAACTTTTACTCTCAATTTGTTGATTGCTAGATTGATTTAATGTCTATTTTTTTATCAATTGAGCGATGGTTATAATTGAGTTAACTTTTAAATCAACAATCAAATTTAATTGGTGTCATTTTATTGTAAAGACAATAAATTTGGACAATTAAATTTTGTCTTTAGTATTAACAGAAAACTAAGTGAATTTATCTTAAATACTGATTATAACTGAAAACAATTAATTTTAATTGCTGCAACTTGGTAAATGTATTATATGATAACCCATTGCGAAGGCTGATAATTAAGATCAGTACGTAACTGGGAACAATATAATTAATAGTAATTTAATGCAACAAGTTTAGAGAGACAATTAATCATTTGAAATTAAAATCCCAGGTAAATTAATATAAGGAAATTGATTAATCATTGGAAAAGTAATTGAATCTAAATTTATGATTCCATTTTCAATTACGAACCTTTTTTCCCTAATCAACTGAATCTCTGAATAGTTACAAGCTTTTTTCATGGATTAATTCAGAATGACCCTGGAAATGAATTTGGAATCTATTGAATTCTCGTAATGATAATCAACATTATCTCTAATATAATCAGAGTATTTGATAGCGAATGAGCTTATATATCAAATAGTAAGAATAGCTAATGTAACAATCAGATTGAAATTTAATCATCATGGAAATGATTGAAATATAATAGGAAGAAAACAGAATCAATATTTTGAATTGAATTTCACTTTTCATGGAGAAAAAAAAATAATCATTTTTTAATGAATTTTCAGTGAAATTAATCAGAAAATTACCAATGAACAATTTAAACTGAAATTCTAAAGCAAACAAACAATCACTTTTTCTTATTCGTAAATGAATATCATGGATTATTAATAAGAGAGAGAGATGAAAACACCAAAGATGATCAATTCAATGAACAAACTTGATACACCAGAATGATGGTTAATATGATAATCTATCAAAATAATATAACTGAGTCAGTAAGTTATTCTGGTAACACCATGACATGAAAAATCAGCAAAAAGGTTGAGAAAAGAAAAGTTCAGTAAGAATATTTCAGATTATATCCGATTACCATGATATTGAACATAAATCTAAATGTTCATCAGCAAGTTGAGCAAGAAAAAAAAGTTCATTTCCCTGGTGTGGATCATTTATCTTGTAATGGAAATAAATCTCAGCTTATTCATTCAAATTTCCATGCAGAAATCAACGTCTCATCAAGATTAACACCAAGAAATACGCAAAAGTTAATTGTGACAACAATCAACTGGATTAATGGAATGAAAACTTAACCATAATAGAAATCAATTAATTACATTATATCAACTCCATGTATTAACTTTTGATGGACTCACACTTACTTTTATTATATTAATACAATTAAAAATAATTGAATCATCATCATCATTCATAATTATAATCAGAGTTAATTGTTATAAATCAAATGTATTATCTCAATAACAATTTACTTGATTAAATATGTACATCGATAGATGAAGGTTACGTTAATTGTTTACTTCAACTCTTTAATCAATCTACTAATTATATTAACATATTAAATCACTAATTACTATTAACTGGGTTGATCATCATTAATTTTATTCATACCAATGAATTAATATATAAGCCAAATACACAGAGAAAAGTTAATAATAATAAATGAAGTAAAGAGTAATGAATTTAAGTTTATTAAGAACCATTTAATTCAGTTAATGATGAAAATGAGGTAACATCATGAGCTGATGATGTAAATGAAATTAATATGATATTTAATCAGAATCTCGGTGAAAATTATTGAGAAATAGGTAACTTTTTTTTCCATGAGGAAAAATCAGAAATCAACTGAAAATTCTGGTTACCTTATTGAAAAGTATGAATGAAAAACTGGTAACAATTGAAATCAAGTCTCAATTCATTTAATGAAAATATGAGAAACTTTTTTTCTGGTTCAAATATTTTCTCAGATAATTATGTTTCCAACATGATACTTTTAATTATTCAGTTGATTACCATGACTGTTTATTACACTTTACACCTTTGATATTATATCAGAATTGTAACATTCAACTGTGAGAGAGAAATATTTTTGAAGAAGCAAAAAATGGTAAAATTATCAGAATAAATTCTGAGATGAAGATGGTTAGTAGATACCATGGTGGATATCATGATACTCCACCCACTGAATCTCATCATCATTATGTTCATCTACAATATGTAATAGACAAGAAGTGATTCCATTATCAAAAGTTTCTGGTTTTACCATGAAAAAACTTGAGCTCTATTTTTGGCTGTTACACCAGGGGAGCACCAGATTGAATTCAGGGAACATGATAATGAATCAGAAGAAAATTAAAAAATGGGAATAAAGGGAATGCTAAAAGAAAGAGAGATGATGCTGAGAGAGAGAGTAGAAATTGTTGAAAACTGAACAGAATCCATGAGATATATTAAAACAAAAAGGATGATGAATTTTTCATTTCTAACAATTGATTAAATGATAATTGCAGAGCTTTTCATCATCTAGTTAGCTTTATATCTCATTAGAAAAGTTCTGAAACGAGAAGGAAAAAAAAGATAATCAGATTAGATTATCATTTATAATATAAAATTTCATGTTATCAATCAACACATGAATCTGTTGATGATTACGAGTATCATGATATTCACCTCACCTTTAGGGGGTAATCTGAAATTATTAACTTTTCTCAGAATTTTATCATGAAAATGAAGGTGAAATGTTTGATCAGAACAAGAATCAGTGGTTATCATCAAGATTCGTTATAAATATTGACTCAAAGAGAGAGAGAGAGGAGAGGAAGGAACAAAAAAGAGAAATGAAAGTTGAATGATTGTAATTCCATGAGTAAGAATGAAATTAATCAAATGAAAATGATCATGATCATCATGATATCAATTGAATAGGAGAAATGATAATCATCTTTAGGCAGTTCTTAAGCTCTTCTACCTGGAATAAAGTGTTGAAATTAATTCCAATGTGTATTCCAAAAGTTAATCATCATGATAAGACCAACCTGATGATGAAAACTCTGATACAACAATTTTGTTAATGATGCAAAAAGAAAAGTGATAAGAAAAACCCCCAAGGGCATTTCCATTTTCTTCAACTTTTTCTTTTCTCAACTTGAACATATTTCTCATATCTCACCTTGAGAAAACAAAATTGTCTCCATGATAATCTGATCCAGTTAATTGCTAATCTATTTCTTATTGAAATCAACTAACTTCTGTTGCTCACCAACATTTACCCAACAATTAATTTCACAATTAAATACATTTACTTTTAATTAACTTCACTCCATTGGGTTTAATCAATTAATATTCAGATACAATTCAAATTGCTACGATTTGTTGATTTACCTTTTCCATTTCTCCTTTAATTGTTCACAATTTTCACCCAACTCACAATATAATTTTAATTGGTTAATTCTGTATGTTAATTTCATCTATTGAGTTAGTTTTTTTTGTTCATTAAATCCTTTCATACTCAAGCAATTTAGGTTAATTGTAATTGTAAAAGCCAAATGATTACACTAATAATAATTTAGTTTGTGTTTGCATTACAATTTAAAATTAACATTCCAAACATTGAATACATTAAGTGTTGATTATTACACTTTGGTAACAATTTGAATTTAATGTTCTGGTGTTCAACATAATCAAAATGTTTCTGATTGTTGTTAATTAACTAGATTAACATGAGAAAATTTCAGTAAACAATTACTGAAATGAATCTGAATTCATCGTAACGGTTAATTTAGTTACACTTTAAGTCCTTTAATTTTGTTTAATTAGTTTGATTGCTGTTGTAAAATCTTTAAGATTAATTGAGTTTCCAAAGTCAAACTTTGATCCAGAATTTTGTGAATTTTTATTTATTCATAAAATCTCAATGGTTGTCTATGTATATTAGTTTAAATTGATGGTAATTGTGATGATGTTTATTGATAATCAATCAACTTCAATCAATAAGATTGACAGATAAACATGACGATGAATGATTTGCTAAACAAAACTCATTGGAAGATATTGAAAACAATTCAAGTGAATCAGTAATTAGCAGAATTGACATTGTGCAAATAGATTATGATAATATTTTCATTTTCTGTTAATCAATTGATTACATTAATCTAACAAATTGATTAAATGTTTGTTGATAATGAAAGAAACAAGGATTATGATTGATGAGAGGTCGATGATAAACTAACAACAAACTCAAGGTTAACTCAAAATGTTAAGATGAATGTTGAATACCCTCTCCCTGTTCAATATGAATATCATACATGGATAATGGTGATAATTGAACAGTTTATAAATATCTGGAATCGTCTGGGAGGATTTCAAGGTTTCCACTCATTTGCTGAGTTCATGATAATCATGAAGGGGAATGGGAAGCAAAAAAAAAAGTTTCACTTTCCAAAATTACTCCATTACTCTTGTT